CTGGCACTATCCAGACATGATATTATCATGGTATAGGTCCAAACATATATCATTATATGGGAGGTTATCCTAGCCCATTCTTGAATTCGCTAGTTTTTGAGAATCTGCACCATGCCAATCCAATTTTGTTATAACTTTGGTATCCATACAAAGTTGAACCATTAGTTAGTTCATAAAGACATTACCAGATATTATGATACAAATCTAGATATAATTGGATATAATTGAAGAGTTCTCCATACTCTTCCAGTCATGAAAGTCAGTGACATTTCTTGTTTTCAATCCTTAACTAAGACTAGTTATTTAATGGAGACTTTGTAGATAGAGGTTCCTTTTCTGTTGAATGTATATTTTCATTGTTAAGTTTTAAATTATTATATCCCGATCATTTTTTCATGTCCAGGGGTAAGTAATCTTTGTTTATCTATGGGCAGTGGGGAAGCACAAAGCAGTCAAATTACAATGTTTCCATTATTCACTTACTCTCTGACCACATTGAGCTCAAAATTGTTCTGTCATAAAAAAAATATTTTAAATGAAATGGTTCCATAGAATTCTAAGATTAGGTGATTTTACACTTAAAGTTCCCTGTGAAAATTGCCCACATTTCAGACTTGTAAGATTATAATTGTATTGTCATTTCTCTTTTCCGTGTCAGAAATATATGAATGTTTTATTTTTTCAGGTAATCATGAAAGTATAACTATGAATCAGATGTATGGTTTTGATGGTGAAGTCAAATCCAAATATCCTTTTTACAACCTAGGTTTCTAGTTCCACAGTGGGTACCAGAGTCTTTGAGTCCAGAGAGGCATTTTGGACAATTATTTGAAAAAAAGGATTGTAAAGAGGTTTTATAATTTAGTGATGTCATCAGACACTTTGTGGAATTACAGGAATCACAGACGTCTTATTGAAATTGGAATGGTGCAAATTGATGCTGTCCCTGATACACAAAAAATTTGGAAACCTTCTTTAAAATCTCTTTAAGGATGGCGACTAGGGCTTTAGAAAAGAAAAAAAAATTAAGCATCATAAAATAACCTGGTACATGTCAGCGCCAAATGATCATTTTCTTTCAGATAGATGGTCCTTTTCTTCCTGGACAAATACGTTGAAACAAACTAAGTTTCTTCCAATACTATTTGTTATTTGATCCTTAACGAATCTAACATATACCTCTCAAATGTGTGATTTATTTACTGAAGTATTCAACTGGATTCCATTAGCTCATTGTATCAACAAAAAAATCATGGTAAAATTTAATTTATCACTAATAGTTCTGATAGTTACTGAGGGATTAGGGCTGGGCAATTTTTTTTTATTAGAGGTCAAAGATTATTTTGCCTTGTCAGCTGGTATTATTGATATGATTTCACTAGAGACAGTAAGATGTGTTTATTTGTAGGTGTGTCATGGAGGGTTATTCTCAGATCCTAATGTTACGTTAGATGATATCAGGAAAGTAGATAGAAATAGACAACCACCAGAAACAGGTAGGTACAGATCATCTCTTCTTTATCAGTCATAAATATATATAACCAACAAGGACTTAACTTTCATTAAGGAACGATGGAAATGAAGGGGTAATTTACACCCTATTTTCTGACCTCGATTTAGCTAATGAAAACGCCTTGGTTACTGTAAAATTTTGGTGGAGTTAAATAGAATGATGTCAATTGAGAATAAGGAATGGACCATTTCTTGATGTTGCAGTGGGAAATTTAACATTTATTTATTCATTCAATAACTTTAATTATTGATATCATTTTATAAACTTGTAAACTATATTTGTAGGTATAATGTGTGAATTATTGTGGTCTGATCCCCAGATGTTACCTGGTACGTCCCCTAGTAAACGTGGGGTTGGGGTTCAGTTCGGTCCAAATGTCACAGAGAACTTTCTGAAAGTGAACAACTTAGATTATGTTGTACGAAGTCATGAAGTAAAAGATGCTGGGTATGAAGTAGTCCATAATGGAAAATGTATAACTGTTTTTTCAGCTCCTAATTACTGGTACGCATATAATTATTTTTTGTTTAATTGGCAGATTGGGCCAAGTAGATACATAGATAGAAAATATTTTCAGGAATAATTTTATGATAATGAAATTTTGCATACTGCCGCTTTTAAAAGAAGCTATTATTGTTATAGTGACTTGTTCGCAGGAAGTTTAGTATAAAGGTCCTAGCTCGGCATGTTTACTGGAAGTAAACTCAGATGATTCAGTCGATGAATTCAAGTTGTTGACCTAATGGCAAATTCGTCATCAAATTACATGACCATGTTATGTTCTGATTGTTACAGTGATACAATGAAAAATAAAGGTGCATTTATAACTATAAAGGGCGGAGATTTAACACCAAAATTCACATCATATGAAGCAGTGGTAGGTTCAATTTACCTTTTTAGATTCTCCTGTTCATTGTTGAGAATTTTTTCAATTTTAGGGTCAGAGTTTTTTGTATTGTATGAAATCAATAAATTTTTCTGGTAATGCATGAAGAAATTATGAGAAAATTTAAAGGAATTCTGTTTTCACAGATTTAGAGCAAACTTTTTCTTTATGGAAAACCAACAGGAATGTTTTGCAAGGATTCTTTGAATACATATTTAGTATTTATTGGAACCTTTGATATATAAAAATACAAAATTTAAAACCAGCATTGTTCAGTAAATTATTTTGTTGTTTCTACTGAACACGTCGTGTCTGTCTATCAAATGGTAACCAAAGAAAAGACAATATATTTTGTGAAATAGATTTGTTATAGCAGACAACTAAATGCGACCAGTATTTTAATAGTTTTAATTTTGAGTAATTTTACATTTCAGCCACATCCTAATGTAAAACCCATGGCGTATGCTAGTTCATTATTTGGATTATTTTAATGACAGTTTGTGTTTAGTCATGTGTGTTTGTGTGTGGTGTATCAAATTGGAGGAATATTTTCTGGACAGTTGACAAGCTAATGGAATGAACTGTCTGTGTCCATCTCCTGTAACGTTCATTTAGATGAGTAATTAATATCACAAAGTGACTAAATCTTCAAAGATATTTCAAGACGTAATGCTGTATTTGGTTACAAAAATTACATATAATTAACTTTATAAAGCAAAGATCTGTGTTGATTGGCCAGTTTTAAAATCATGTGACATCATGAATATTTATTATCTCAGTCAGATTTACCTGCTAAAGCGAAAACACAGTAGAAATGTGTAACAGTTTCATATAACATCATGAATATTTATTACCTCAATCTGTTAGAAGAAGGTTTACTGTCTTAAGTGAAACATGATAGAAAGATGTTTTGGAATTGTGTGGTACCATTAAGCTATTCCATACCAAATGGAAGGAAATATCCTTTGTCACTCGTGGCTATTTAGTGTATTATGTACCTAATATAAGCATAATTAAAACATCTCATAAGAACTGTTATTGTTAAAATGTTATTTGGTTACTTAATATTTTTGAAAATTTGTATATGAAATGATAATGAAATTAGTGCTATTTTTAATGCTTTGTACAATTTATGAATTTCGAGTTTGACAATGTCTGTTCTGCAGCATCTTCACGATGTCAAGCTAAATCAAACTGTGTCTTATACCTTGACTGCAATAGCCGCTATTCTCATATTGCTGAAGTTGTTAAATGTAGCAATTTGGTTTGATTATACCTACGCCAATACTGTCAATCAGAGCTATTGACAGAAAGTCTATGGAGGGTTGTGATTGGTTGTATTCTCTGACATACAATCCAATCAAATTGCTGCAATCCTTGTTTCATGAACTTAGAACAGTGGCTATTGCTGTCAAGGTAACAGGCAAAGTTATTAATAGCTTTACATTGATCGTTCTATGGCAGATAAGAGTCTTCTGCAAATAATGTATCAGAACCACCTCACACCCTCAATGCCAATGCATGCTATACCAAGGTTCATTCCAATATCAGGAGTAAGAAAGAAGTGGAAGACATTACTGTGGGTGATGTATTCATAATAATCATCACATCTCATTTGTCAAAGTCGTACATAAATAAAACATAATATTTTCACAACTTTTATTTTCTATTTTCTAATCTCAAATTTACCCCTGATGGGTCTAAAAAAAATAAGAATATGGGGACATATTTACTCCTCCCAGAACACTATATATTATCATTTACTGTCTCATATTTCTTAATGAGATGAGGCTTGAACAATCAGTTCTGATGGAGCCTGATAAGTGAGAGCCCTAATAAACACCATAAAAACAGTGAGATTATATCAAGATAAAATATTGGTTAGAAATGCACTTTTATCATCATATTTATCTGAGAAACAATATTTGTGAACATCTGTGTTCCATTCAACATTACAAGAGCATTTCACTTTATTTTTAGGTAGAATAAATAGTAATAGAACCAATACAAACAAGACACATATTGCATTCATTACTACACATTTACATTAGCTATTGTTTTGTCTATTGGACTGATGCAAATTTGTGTGGCACTTATAACATAATAAATGCAATTGCCTCATCACCAAAACATTATGCGTAGTAATTTTAATCAATGACGTTCTTTATTGGCGTCATTATATCAAATAGAAGGTCTCCAATGTAAACAATCATGTCAGTAGTCCCAAACATTGAAACATAAAGAAACAGGCCCTACTTAAATTCATACCAAAGTCTTTGTATCAAAATTAGAACGTCTTGAAAATGTAAATATAAGCAATAAACTGTTACCCTATGGCGGTTATGGTCGTATATCAGGACAAAGTTTGGCTGGAATATTTTGTCCTGATATACGACCATAACCGCCATAGGATAGCAGTTTATTGCTTAATTAAATTACCTGATGAAAAGAAGGTGTACTGTTCATTTTAATTATTTGAATCTGACCTGAATGTCAGAATAAATATTTTTATTGGACTATAATTTTAATCCAATATCATAACAAGACTATAAAAAACAATCAAAGAAAACAAACAACAATAAAATCTCCTGGATTTTCTCTAAAACACCACTTGGATGCTGATCATTCACATTGCACAATAAAACTGATATTCCACTTCTAATGAAGTCATTCCATAGCTTGTGAGGCTAAAAACATGAAGTATCTCTACACCTTATTTCACAGAAGCCTGAACTGCCTGAAGTATGTCTCCTAATATGGAATTTCTATTACTTTGAGAAATCTGAAATGGAAGATTAAAATTTATACAGATGTATTGGTTTTGAAGCAATTTCCTTGGATCCAAAATCTTGCCATATAGACAATCAAAACAGCACTGGTAAATCACAAACCTAAAGGTGCAGGAATCGCTTCAAGCATAATTTAAACCAAGTCAGGTGATTTTCTAAAAAGTTGACCCTAAAAGAGTGAATGCATAATTTTCTGAAAACCTTGATCTTCAGAATGTTAAGATAAGGAGGAATCAAATTTGGAAGTTGTTTCGTTCATACTGCCAATGTTCTCTCTTTGATTGCAAGATATGTTGAAGAACTGTGACAGAAGACTTGAGGAGACATGCTCTATTTAAAGGGCAAAAATTTGCATTTTTTGGAGGTTGATTTGAGCCTTGAATATATGTAAATAGCCTTTAAAAGCTCTTACAGATATAGCACAGCCCCTTCAAATATACCTCAAGCCAGTAATTTCACTTTCTTTCTATAAATCTAGACAAATCAAAAGCCCAAACAAATCTAGATCAAAAGGAACTTACTGTAAAAACCTGTGAATCCTGTCTATGCCTAATCTCTTCTACAAATGGTATAGGTTTACCTTTACAGATAGGTATAGTGGCTAAGACTGTGGTGGTATCATTGTCTAGTATACTTCTTACACACTGTATAAATGTCTGACTAAATAACTCCATTTTACCTATTTCATCTATCACAATCACACATTTCTCATCTTTCTGAGAAAAAAAATTACTCCTTTTACCCCCCTGTTTTATCCACATTTGTTGAAATCTTCAAAAGATAAGATTATGACCCTTAGATATTTTGTGAGCTTTTGAAAATTTGAATAGTGCCAATCAATGTCATCATTGTCACTAATTCCAGTAAAAAGAAAAGTCTAGTAAAACTACTTTACAATAACTTTAAGATTGAAGTCTTGATCATTCGTTAAAATACTTCAGAAAAGTTATGAACTCACCAGATGTAAGGTTGGCAAAGCTATTTGTTCAAATGACTGTAGTTGTACACTATACTGTCCTACTTTATAATCTCTTTTCTTACTGGAGGGTAATCCATCTCCCCCTTCACTGAAATACAGAAGCATAGGAGCATAAGAAGACCTTGGACAATTGTAAGATAACAACATAAGCCTATCGCAGCTAGTCCTTCTTTGTATGTGCACGGAGCACTGCTACTAAAGAATATCCTTCTAAAAGATTGGAAAAGTCTGAGGGTCTAAGCAATACTAGAGATCAAGAACTTGCTTACTAACACTGTCACAGGGAAGTTTTCCAGCTTTAATTTTAATTAAGTAGACAATTAGATGTACAGATGTCAAAAACACACCTTACTCTGGCCAATGGACCTCTCTTGCCATCTAAGGTGACCACATCAAATCCAGTCCTTCTGCCACCTGATCTGATCTCTTCTGTATAAAACCCTTGTACTGATATTCCCTTTGACTTTATGGCATCACAGGCTTTCTGTATCAATGTAGACTTTCCAACACCTAGAAAATGTAATATGTTGTGAGGTTGGATATACATTTAACTTGACAAAATATGAGAAGAAATTGAATTCAACTGGATATGGTACATTCTCTCGGGTCGCATTCTAATCTAGTTAGTAAGCCTATTGAGACTGGACGGCTCAAGAATAGAGGAAGATTAAATAATGCATCATCAATATCATCAGGATAACTAAAAACCATGGTCTGATAGATGTCAGAAATAATACTCAACATATCCATTTACGTCCTTCTGATATTGCTAGGCATATATAAAGCACTAATTAGTTACCTGGTGGGCCTGTCAGAATAATATGACGAGCTGTCATACTTGAATTTCTTTGAGTTTGTCTGATCAAAACTTTATTCTCTCTGACAGTTGACCACCTGCCACACGTGTGACATCAAAACAAATGAAGAGCGCATGCGTCAACAAATAACGGAAGTACAAGGGACTGAACTCTTGTTGTAAATAATTAGTTGTCAAATTATTAAAATGCGTCAATTAATGTAAATTACTGAATTAATCCCGCAATTATGGGTAACTCAGCGATCAAGCAACATATTCAGACTGCTGAGAAGACGGGAACCTGTCAGCTTTGTAAGCTTGGCTTGAAAGAGGTACGTACAAAAGAGAAAACTGACGTTTGTTGAATGATTAGCATTAGATTAGTCCATATAAATAATAATAATAATAATGTATGAATTCAAGTCAAATGTCAGTCAAGACTACTTTATAATTTTCTTGGACAGTGAAAAAGAAATAAACAGATATCAGTTGTACTACAGCAATTATCTCTTACAAAATAATGTTTGATGTAGGTCTATTCAGCTAGAATAAATTGGAAGCTGAAGCCGCTGAAGCAGGCAAATTCAACAGCAGGATGCCTTTAATAAATAGACCAAATGATGATATTAGACATTGTTAATAAGCTTAAAGTTACAATTTATATTATTTCTTTACAGTTTCCTGAAGAGCTTGAAGGTTTACAGAAAAATCTCCGTACATTAGATTTATCAGAAAATAAATTTAATCTTCTTCCTCCGGGTATTGGTAGTTATACCAACCTTAAAACACTGAGTCTTAATCACAATAAATTAGGTAAGTGTTAGACAAGGAGGGAGGGGGCTGAGGCTAACGGTGAATAGGAATGGCTTAACCTCTCCACTTCTTAAAGCCAAGACTAAATATACCTACCGGTACCATGTTTTCATCGACATATTTTCTTAAATTCACAGAGGACTCGTAAGAGTTGGTGTATAAGTAATTATAGTGGCTCTATTTATTGTCTGTGCAAAGTTTTTTTAATTTTTCCCATCATTTTTATGAGAATTGGAATAGCAGCCTCAAAAAAATACTGTTAGTCTTAAAATGTCTTTGCGTTGATAAAAATATAAGCATAAGCAAACATTTTGTCTTCAAAATTTCTTTTTACAGAGGACAATTTTCAGTGAAAATTTGGGTTGAAATTTCTAGGAGAAAAATGTGTTTCTTTTCAATGAATTCTCCAAAAAAATATTCAAAACATTTTAATTAGCTCAGACAATAAATCATGCTGCATATCTGTGTTTTGAATTCACTGTAAGGCCTACTCATCAGGACAGCTTTGTTTGAAATGGGGGTCAACTTTCCAATCCTGAACTTGGAATTCTGGATTAATGCCTGATCAATACAAATAGGCATTAAATGTGGAATAATTGTACCAGGCATACGAAAGAATAATATTTATATTTGTATTTTCAGAAAGTTTTCCTAGTGAATTTGGAAACTTGAAAAAACTAGAAACTTTATCGGCTGATAATAACAGTATTAGAATTTTACCAGCCTCTTTTTCTAATTTAAAACATCTCAGAACATTGAATCTGTCTGGAAATCATTTTAAACAGTTTCCTATGCAGATTTGTAATTTGAATCAACTGGATGTAGTTGATCTATCTAGGAATGCTATCACAACTATACCAAATGATGTTAATACCTTTCAGGGTATTGAATTAAACCTCAATCAAAATCAGGTAAGGAAATCATCCTAGTCTCTTATTAATTAATTAACCTGTCAGTCATCGACAGTGGCCAACATCTCTTCAACATGTGCAAAACGGCTGCAGATTTCTACCTTGTTTTACTGTTGCAGCTAAAACTTGTATTAAGGATCAAAGAAAAATTTATTCAGGATGTCCCTTTTTTTTTTTTTTTGGCTCAATTTATTCCTGATTTCAGGTGTCTACATTACCAGAAGGAATTGCTCAATGTCCAAGACTAAAAGTTATAAGATTGGAAGAAAATTGTTTAGAATTACGAGCATTTACACCCAGAATACTCAAAGAGTCACAGATAGCTTTGTTTGCTATTGAAGGAAATGTATTTGATATGAAAGCATTCCATAATCTTGAGGGTTATGATGAGGTCAGTAATATCTCTTTAAGTATATATGTAGGTAAACCATTTCAATGGTCTAGATGAAGAAAGTCACCTCTAATAGGTCTCTTGCTGTCACTATGGTTTAGATGAGAGGGGAATATAGCCGACATAGGGATGCAGGCTGTGGCATGAGAATTTTTATCACTTTGAAGAGGATTCAAATCCATGGTACCTTATCCCCCAGAAGACCACAATTTAATTCTCTACATATTGATTCGCACACCATATGCTTTAGAATATAATTCAACCATATTTCACCAGCTTCAAGTTACATGATATGGGCATGGTTTATCACTATTTGACAATGTTTTTATCTGTCTTTAGTGAGTGGACTTATACAGAGATCACATCAAAACATGTTGGGTTTTGAAATGTCCTGAATTAAAAAAAAATTCATGTGGTGTAAAAAGAGTGCACCTATTTTGTTTTTTATTTTGTTGCATATTTGTATTAGTTTTGCAATTCTAAAATTTACTGGACTTTAATCCATTACAAAATGTCTTAGAATATCGTTTTATTTGTCTTTTACAGTATATGGAAAGATATACAGCTACCAAGAAAAAATTTAACTGAACAAAGGAAACAGAATTTTGCTTAATTTTCATTAATTTAAATGGTTTTTATATCATACAAACAATTGTAAATATTACCAATGTTATGGAAAACAATTTATGGTTTTATCGAAGATATCTTCTTACTATTAAGGAATGGTTTTAAATGTATTATTCCCCTTTACAAAATCAGAAGATTCCGACTAGTCAAATTTAAATTTTGTATTAGTCATAGATTGACTGGCCTATAAACTACTAGCCTATTGTTTGTAGAGCGTTGGGGACAACATGTGGCTTTGCACATCATGATCTCAATCACTCGATCCACATTTTTACAGGAATTATGTTTACCGAAGTTTACAAAGAAGGGGAAAGTTTGTCTCTTGATTGAATTGTCTTTAAGGACTCATTTATGGTTTAGCATTGGATTGGTAACAGATTTTTCTGTTTTTTGTGATGAAGATTCTTAAAAAAAATATTGACCTATAAAAGGGTCAGATTGAACTATCACATAAAAAAATGCTAATGTCCGTTTAATTGGTTTGATTGATGAACAATCAATCATCAATCTAACAATTTTATTAGATCTAGAATAAGTGGAGTAAGGAAATTATCAAGAGCTTTTTTTATTTTAATTGTCACACATACAAACTGATCAAAATCAAATTCAGTACAGCATAAAACTGTAATTATAGTTCTATATGTACAGCAAAATATTCTATTGAAATGGTCCTAATCAATCTCACTTATTTGTTGGTGGAAAGTTATTGCTTTTGAAACTTGATTGTTGTATGTTATCTATCTGTTTATTCATCCAGCATTATAACCTATTGGTATGTGAACACTCTACATCTTGTATAATAAATTGTACAAATAATCAAATATTAATTTGATATCTTATAATCATCCTATTAAAGATTCAATGTTAATTTTTATAATGGTGTTTTGATTTACTTGAGACATCAGTTGAAGAAGCACTTCATTTACATAATAGAAGCTAAACCAGATACCTGCTTTGCTTTTTGAAAAGTGTTACAGACATGAAGTTTAGGATAGCCAAACAAGTTTTAAGTTGTATTGTCTATATCCCTTCAATTCAAATATTGTGTATTATTTTTATAATATTAAAAGATTTACTACAGACATCAGACAGACTGAGTTTATAATATTAAAAGATTTACTACAGATATCATACAGACTGAGTTTATAATATTAAAAGATTTACCACAGACATCAGACACACTGAGTTTATAATATTAAAAGATTTACTACAGACATGAGACAGACTGAGTTTATAATATTAAAAGATTTACTACAGATATCATACAGACTGAGTTTATAATATTAAAAGATTTACTACAGATATCATACAGACTGAGTTTATAATATTAAAAGATTTACTACAGACATCAGACAGACTGAGTTTATAATATTAAAAGATTTACTACAGACATCAGACAGACTGAGTTTATAATATTAAAAGATTTACTACAGATATCATACAGACTGAGTTTATAAGATTAAAATATTTACTACAGATATCATACAGACTGAGTTTATAATATTAAAAGATTTACTACAGACATCAGACAGACTGAGTTTATAATATTAAAAGATTTACTACAGATATCATACAGACTGAGTTTATAATATTATTAAAAGATTTACCACAGATATCATACAGACTGAGTTTATAATATTAAAAGATTTACTACAGATATCATACAGACTGAGTTTATAATATTAAAAGATTTACTACAGATATCATACAATCTGAGTTTATAATATTAAAAGATTTACTACAGATATCATACAGACTGAGTTTATAATATTAAAAGATTTACCACAGACATCATACAATCTGAGTTTATAATATTAAAAGATTTACTACAGATATCATACACACTGAGTTTATAATATTAAAAGATTTACTACAGACATCAGACAGACTGAGTTTATAATATTAAAAGATTTACTACAGATATCATACAGACTGAGTTTATAATATTAAAAGATTTACTACAGATATCATACACACTGAGTTTATAATATTAAAAGATTTACTACAGATATCATACACACTGAGCTTGTGAATTACCGGAGGACTGAGTTCATCTATATTGATTATATTGATAATTAATTGTTTAATTCATTTAACTATTCAAAATTGTTAATAGTCAAGTCGGCCTCTAACATTACGTTCATAAAAAAAGTTAGTCTGATTACAGATTACCTGCGGGAAGCACTTGGATCGAGTTATTGGATCTGCATTTTAATCAGATTGGTCAGAAGATATAAGTGAAACAATGGTTGTGTATTATTAAATGTAACTTCGTACAACTAAAGACACACATCTTCGAAATTCAAAATCCATCCCACGACAATCGAAGATCTTCTATACAGATACAGAACCAAACTTTGTATACTGTCGATTCTTTTCATTACAATGGCCATACCACTATAACCAAACAATATCCCGTATTCATTTTCATTTGTTTATATTAGTTTGAAAATGAATTTGAAATAAATTCAGGAACAGCTGTCGTATAACTAATATAATGATCAATAGTATTATATACTATATTGGTAGACAAACATAGCTAACCAATATCAACTTGGTTGTATCAGTCTAGTATAGTGTAAATGAGATTTAGGGATCGGATACTTTGTTCCGATACATTTGTACTATTTGGAACCTTTGTATCCTCATATTATAGTGGGTAAGTTCTATAAAATCTCGATATACTTTGACAGTGTGTGTAAAGGTGTTCTCAATCTGTCATTTCCACATACGATTAGCAATTACTTGATACGATATTTCTTCTGGAAGGGAAGTCGAAGTTAATTCTGAAAAGTGACACAGATAGCAGAGACTGAGACTGAGACTGAGCAGAGAATCTGTATTCCTTCAAAATGGGCAAACCACATTTACACAAGGATACAATTTAAAGGAACACCTTCACAGGATTTTTTTTTTGCTCGCAGCTTATTGTCAAAATGTGAGCCTTCAAATCCATGTTTTTCCATTATAATATTATTCACGTTTGAAAGTTAAAAATTCGACTCGAATTTTAGTGAGACTATGCCATATATAGAAAACACATATGTATAGGACAGTGAAATTTCTAGTTTGAGGTATATTTGAAGGGATTATGCGATTTTCTTGCGGTTTAGTACTTCTTAAGACTATTAAAGCACAATAAAGTCCCAAATCAATCCCCGAAAATGCCGACTGTTCCCGTTTAAGACATGTCCACAAAGACTAGCACAACCTTGGCACATTCTACCCACAGAAGACTGTCATTGTACCTAGAACATTCTGTCCACAGAGGTCTGTCATTGTACCTAGAACATTCTGTCCACAGAAGACTGTCATTGTACCTGGAACATTCTGTATACAGAGGTCTGTCATTGTACCTGGAACATTATGTCTACAGAGGTCTGTCATTGTACCTAGAACATTCTGTCCACAGAAGACTGTCATTGTACCTGGAATATTCTGTCTACAGAGGTCTGTCATTGTAACTAGAACATTCTGTCCACAGAAGACTGTCATTGTACCTGGAACATTCTGCCTACAGAGGTCTGTCATTGTACCTGGAACATTCTGTCCACAGAGGTCTGTCATTGTACCTGGAACATTATGTCTACAGAGGTCTGTCATTGTACCTAGAACATTCTGTCCACAGAGGTCTGTCATTGTAACTAGAACATTCTGTCCACAGAAGACTGTCATTGTACCTGGAACATTCTGTCTACAGAGGTCTGTCATTGTAACTAGAACATTCTGTCCACAGAAGACTGTCATTGTACCTGGAACATTCTGTCTACAGAGGTCTGTCATTGTACCTAGAAAATTCTGTCTACAGAGGTCTGTCATTGTACCTAGAACATTCTGTCCACAGAGGTCTGTCATTGTAACTAGAACATTCTGTCCACAGAAGACTGTCATTGTACCTGGAACATTCTGTCTACAGAGGTCTGTCATTGTACCTAGAACATTCTGTCTACAAAGGTCTGTCATTGTAACTAGAACATTCTGTCCACAGAATACTTTCATTGTACCTGGAACATTCTGTCTACAGAATACTTTCATTGTACCTGGAACATTCTGTCTACAGAGGTCTGTCATTGTACCTAGAACATTCTGTCCACAGAAGACTGTCATTGTACCTGGAACATTCTGTCTACAGAGGTCTGTCATTGTAACTAGAACATTCTGTCCACAGAAGACTGTCATTGTACCTGGAACATTCTGTCTACAGAGGTCTGTCATTGTACCTAGAACATTCTGTCTACAGAGGTCTGTCATTGTACCTAGAACATTCTGTCTACAGAGGTCTGTCATTGTAACTAGAACATTCTGTCTACAGAATACTGTCATTGTAACTAGAACATTCTGCCTACAGAGGTCTGTCATTGTACCTAGAACATACTGTCTACAGAAGACTGTCATTGTACCTGGAACATTCTGTCCACAGAAGACTGTCATTGTACCTAGAACATTCTGTCTACAGAAGACTGTCATTGTACCTAGAACATTCTGTCCACAGAAGACTGTCATTGTGACTAAAACAGTATGTCCACAGAAGACTGTCATTGTAACTAGAACATTCGGTCCACAGAAGACTGTCATTGTACCTGGAACATTCTGTCCACAGAGGACTGTCATTGTACCTAGAACATTCTGTCCACAGAAGACTGTCATTGTACCTAGAACATTCTGTCTACAGAAGTCTGTCATTGTACCTAGAACATTCTGTCCACAGAAGACTGCCATTGTACCTGGAACATTCTGTCTACAGAAGACTGTCATTGTACCTGGAACATTCTGTCCACAGAAGACTGTCATTGTACCTGGAACATTCTGTCTACAGAGGTCTGTCATTGTACCTAGAACATTCTACCCACAGAAGACTGTCATTTTACCTAGAACATTCTGTCCACAGAAGACTGTCATTGTAACTAGAACATTTTGTCCACAGAAGACTGTCATTGTACCTAGAACATTCTGTCCATAGAATACTGTCATTGTACCTAGAACATTCTGTCCACAAAGGACTGTCATTGTGCCCAAAATATCCAAGATATAATCTATAACAGGATACTGCCTATTCGTGCAGAAGATATTCTTGTAGGGCTCAATTAAGCCATCAGATTGGCAAAATAAACGCGTGAGTGTTCATCTAAACCATTATTCTGGGCGTGCATTTCCTATGATTCGACCTCGGGCATTGAGTTGAGAAACTCCGGTGGCTTTGCTCACTAAACTTTGCCATTTTTAGTCGGCACTCAGTTTTGTCGAGCTACAACCCTGATTACATCTATTGAAGACCAGGTGTTATAAACGCATAATTGACATAATTGAATGCATTAAAAACATGTATGAACAACATCTGGTATCATAGTTGTCAAATAATTTGATTCATATCACAAAATGTGTATAAGCTTATGTATAGGCAACTGAAAACTGTACAAATTTAGTTTTGATTATATGTAAATAGTCTTCAGAAGAACTAAAATGTACGAAAATCACATAGTTCTATAAATGTCTTTTGTTATATCACAGAGTATGTTAAATGACGAGTCGTCATTTTAACATTCAATCGCGGATAATTCTGGACACACATGGATTTGAAGGCTCAAATTTCGACGGTGAGCTGTGAACACTATTACTGATTGGCTTAGCTGAAAAATTCCCGTTTCTGAGACTTACTTAAGAAGAAGAACAGGTGCGCCATTTTTTTTTTACCAATCATAATAAGATTATTAAAAAATGGCGCACCTGTTCTTTTAAAAAGTGACAGTTTCAAAATTTCAGAATAAAAATTATTTGATTTAAGGTTTTACTTGAGGAAAAGCACTTTTCGGCTTCCCTTGGTACAGTCAGTATGTACCTGTTTCTGCCTCCTCTCCTCACTTACCCACTCTAGACTTGGGTCTGGAAGCGTACTAGCCATAACATTGTTTTTATACAATGCGGATTATATGTGTGTTTTGTTTTTAAGAAATTGCCGAGAGTTCCTGAATGTTAGGCCTACGTTAAGGTGTTCAGAGGTCGAGAACAGACCCGAGGCGGTATCTCGGAGGCACTGACTGAACCTGGTGTAACAATATGAAATATTTGATACCTTTTAAACAACTCTGTCTACTCTTTTTGAGCATAGTTTTTTTTCTAATTTTTCAGATTTGAAAATGTAACCAGAACAGAAGACGAAATTTATATTCCGACATGTATAGTTCCAGTCAAAAACTTTTGATACCCCACCAACAGTCGGAATACTCAGAAGAAGATCCGTATGGTTCCGATGATGAACTTTTCAGTAAGTAGAGATTTATTAGAACCTAGTAGGAGATATTGTAGTAGGTAGAGATATATCTGAACCTAGTAGTAGGTATTGTAGTAGGTAGAGATATATCTGAACCTAGTAGTAGATATTGGAGTAACACAGAGATATATCTGAACCTAGTAATATATATTGTAGTAAGTAGAGATATATCTGAACCTAGTAGTAGATATTGGAGTAACACAGAGATATATCTGAACCTAGTAATATATATTGTAGTAAGTAGAGATATATCTGAACCTAGTAGTAGATATTACAGTAAGTAGAGATATATCTGAACCTAGCAGTAGATATTGTAGTAGGTAGAGATATGTCTGAACCTAGTAGTAGATATTGGAGTAACACAGAGATATATCTGAACCTTGTAATATATATTGTAGTAAGTAGAGATATATCTGAACCTAGTAGTATATATTGTAGTAAATCTGAACCTAGTAGTAGATATTGTAGTAAGTACAGATATATCTGAACCTAGTAGTAGATATTGTAGTAATATAGAGATATATCGGAACCTAGTAGTACATATTGCAGTCAATAGAGGTATATCTGAAACTAGTAGTAGGTATTGAAGTAAGTAGAGATATATCTGAACCTAGTAGTAGATATTTTAGTAATATAGAGATATATCTGAACCTAGTAGTACATATTGCAGTCAATAGAGGTATATCTGGACCTAGTAGTACATATTGCAGTCAATAGAGGTATATCTGAACCTAGTAGTAGATATTGTAGTAGGTAGAGATATATCTGAACCTAGTAGTAGATATTACAGTAGGTAGAGATATATCTGAACCTAGTAGTAGATATTGTAGTAGGTAGAGATATATCTGAACCTAGTAGTAGATATTACAGTAAGTAGAGATATATCTGAACCTAGTAGTAGATATTACAGTAAGTAGAGATATATCTGAACCTTGTAGTAGATATTACAGTAAGTAGAGATATATCTGAACCTAGTAGTAGATATTGTAGTAACATAGAGAGATATCTGAACCTTGTAGTAGATATTACAGTAAGTAGAGATATATCTGAACCTAGTAGTAGATATTACAGTAAGTAGAGATATATCTGAACCTAGTAGTAGATATTGCAGTCAATAGAGATATATCTGAACCTAGTAGTAGATATTGTATTAAGTAGAGATATATCTGAACCTAGTAGTAGATATTACAGTAAGTAGAGATATATCTGAACCTAGTAGTAGATATTGCAGTCAATAGAGATATATCTGAACCTAGTAGTAGATATTACAGTAAGTAGAGATATATCTGAACCTAGTAGTAGATATTGTAGTAAGTAGAGATATATCTGAACCTAGTAGTAGATATTGTAGTAAGTAGAGATATATCTGAACCTAGTAGTATATATTACAGTAAGTGGGGATATATCTGAACCTAGTAGTAGATATTTGAGACTTACAGAGTTGTTTTCAACTATCCCTTTTCTAAACATTTCCTGATATTCAGTCTATGAACGGTTTTATCTTGGAGTGAACATTGTGCCCTCTAAATTCTCAAAATTCATCTCCGAACATCAATATTGCTGTGGCTATTAGGGGCCTTCGTCTGACTCTTGAATTGCCTTTTCGAAATCCATTAGATTGTGGTGGCTTGATATATTTGGCATATTTTCAAGTAGCATCTATCTCTACTGCAAAATGATGACTTTATCACTGGAAGCAGTAATGCGTATAATATAAACCATCAATATGTACATTATGCAATTTCATAGCTTTAGTCTCGATTATCACATTACTTGTCATGTCAAGCGTATTGAGTGTCTGGTCAACCGTGGAAAAACAACAAAGTTTGACAAAAACAGGAAAAAGTTTTTCAAGCGGAACTTACCCATGTCCATAGGCAATTATACAAGATAATATAGTGTTTATTTTAGCTACGTATATCAGATATAAGTAATTTCATAAAACGGTAAACGTGGAAGTTCATGATTTACAAGTTATTACGCTTTTAGTAGCATAAATGCCCTAAACACAATCTGTGTTGAACTGTTGCCAGTGTTGGAAAAATGGTTCAATGGTTGCTATTTAAAGAGAGTTGAAAAGATGTGTATCAGTGATTTGGAGATTAAACTGTTATGATTTGTATACCCTGACATTTTGGTCGTAGTGTTTTTATATTATAAACATCAATTGTATATGCATTAGGAGAGTTTAATCAATTCAAATTAGACCAGTTACAACTATAGACCTATATCATACTTTATGAATAAAATAGTTTAATACTGTTTATCACTATTAAACTATGAGGAATATATGACTGATTCTAAAGTTGAAGAAGGGGTTATGATATCTCCCCTCCGTAAGTTGAGATCACGAATAATGGCTGATGGATACAAGTATAAAATGTTGAAGGAAATGTCATTTGAGGAGGAACAACATGGAGAAGGTAAATTCAACGCCAACAGTTGTCATTTTTAGAGAAATAAAGAAACAATGATATTTTGCAAAAGCAACAACTTAGGTTCACGAAGATTCTGCCAAACCTTTGATCATTGATCTATCCTGGATTATCAATACCTAGGCTATGTAGGCTACAGCGGTGTCCCAACTGGATATATGAGTGAAGATGACTTATTTAAGGTCATCACTCTTTTACATGCTGACCGAAATTAGAAACCATTCCAATTCTGAGGCTCTTACCTCACCGACTGTGCTAAAACTTGTCCTATGGAGGATAAAACAGCCCTGAACATCTGAAAGTCAGGAGGGGGGATGTGGATGGTGGATATGAAGTATTTTGGGTATGTTTCAGTCGTAGGAATTAAAATATTGAACTGGACATGGGCATCATAATATTTACGATAACAACTGATCGAGCTCAATTTCAGCCATTTGTAGGCCTTATAGCCGACATTTTATGATTCTTTCCCATTCCTGTTTTCAGGTCGCTTAGACAGAAATTCTAGAAATAGAAGGAAGAATATCACATGTTGTTATTGTTTTTGGTTTATTATTCTGATATCTGTTATATTATTATTACTTAGTATGTTATTGTATCAACAGTATTATACAAAAGGCGTAAGTATTTAATTTATTTTGGCGAGTCAGGTAGATGCTAGTTACATGATGTAGGTCGTGGTTCTATGCTAACATTGAGAGAGATACTACCTCCAGATTTTTTTTAACTGTTTCGTCCTGTCAGTGATGCACGTCAGAGGGGTTAATGAACAAAGCGTCTGGTTGTTCATATTGGAGAATTAACAGAGGCCCAATGTGCTACAGGCTGCGCAGGTTAAAGATTCTTTGACAGTTCTGAAAAGAGCATGGCAATTCCTGTTCTCATTAGGTGCAGAAAAACTGCATTTTATTTTATTTCATTTGAATATACTGATGACTACACGTTATGACTTCATGATACTGATAGTGGGTATGTTATGATAATGCTGAAGGGAAACTTTGTGATAGAGTTTTAGTAGAGATAGTAGTTTTTTACTGGGTACATTGGAGACTGTCATTTAATATATTAGGAAGTAGGCAAAAGACTGTTTCCTAACCCTATTACATATAGAAATAAATATTGTTTATACAAAATATTTAATCAATTATGGAATTTGATATTCGACAATCGCAATTTTAAATTCATAGGGCCAATCAATTATTTTACCCTGTCCTTACCATGACAGTGGAGTCTACAACAATTGTGGTAGTTATAGGAATCTTTCTTTCCACAGAAGTGCAGAAAGGATGAAAAAACTCCCATGTTATTTGTATTTCTAGGTCTGTCTGACACCACAATGTGTTGTGAACAGTGCTGAGATTGCTTCAAAAATGAACCTGACAGTTGATCCATGTGATGATTTTTATGAATATTCATGTGGAACATGGTTATCAGAGGCAGTTATCCCCCCTGATAAGAGCACCTACAGTATGTTTGTTAAAATCACTGAAGCTAATACACAAGTTATTCATAAGGTATGGATTAATTTTATATGACAAAACTTTCTTGTAAGGAAGGTTAACATCAACTAAAAATATTATTATGGACTGGTTAAAATTAGATAACAATTTCGTTTTTTGAAAACAATGAAGAATTTGGGATACCGAAACCCTAAGAGGCTATCATGTTTCTCAAAAATTTTTTCTGTCCTGCAATTTGTTATCTAATCAAGAAACTGGCCGTGTCTGAAGGCTTTGATTGGTTGAAAATAAAGTGATTAGAAAGGGGCTGTGGTAAAAAACTTCATAGATTAATATTGAGACAAAAAATATCAGAAAACGAAAAAAGAATAAGTTAGATTGCTACTTACTAAAAGTAATAAAATCATAATAGTGATGCAATTGTTTGTTTATGTTTGTAATTCTACTATTTCTTAAACACATCTCCATATTTCAGACATTGGTAGAAGAAAGTGAATTGAAATCAGAAGCTATAGATAAAGCTAGGGTATATTATAAGTCCTGTATGAATACTAATGTTATAGAAGATAAAGGTGTAGAACCTATATTTAAAGTAAGATCATTAGATTTTTTATTTTGATACAGCACTATCAGGTTGAATTGCTCTTTTGACATACTTTATCATAAGATGTGCTGTTAAAATCCCACTCCACTTAATGTTTGATGACGTCGCTAATCGCAAAATATTAGTGAAATCATCAAACACTTAGTTTTAGTAGATTTGCAAGAACCACAGACGTCTGATTGAAACTTTGAATGCTGCAAATTGATGATATCAGTGTCCATATACACATACAATTTTAACACCTCTTTAAAATCCTTTCTAATGTTTTCTCAATCCTTATTCTTTATGCTGCAGAAGATGTTTTTTTGGAAATGTGAATTAAAATCCACTATTTGGGTATGAGCTAAACTTTTATTTCAGTTGATCAAAGAACTGGGATCATGGACAATAAGCAGTAATGAAATATCTGGACAGTGGGATAGATCCAAGTGGGATTTGACTAAGATTTTAAGTATAATGGCATCCTATTATAAAACTCCATTGATTGGTATCAGTCCAACAAGAGATAATAAAGATAATACAAGATATCTGTTATATGTGAGTGGTCATTTCTTTGTTATATCTTACAAGTTAACTATTGCGCATGAGAATTTCAAAGTAAACAAAGCAATATTAACTTAAATATATCCAATCAAAAGGTAGAAAAAATGCAATTGACCTCGCTTGTATATCTGTAGATGGAACTGGGATATGCAAAGTTATTTACACCAAAAGAAAGTCCAAATTTTGGTTCTGTTTGTGTTATTAATAGGACAGATCAGATGTAGCTGGCTTTTTACTTTTCCATTTGGCCCTTGATAAATTGCAGAACGCAAAAAAAAAGATTTTTGGTCCCAGACTGTAACGGATCAGCAATTTGTCCAGTGGAAACACACTAAAGCTAACTTAAAGCTGGCTCTTTCCCTCACAGGAAACAGTTAATATCTACATATTAGACTGAATATTTCAAATGACATTTCATATAATGTTACTTTCAGTTTGACCAAGCAGGTTTGACTCTGGATAATAGAGATGAATATTTTAGCAACAACACGAAGTTGAAGGAAGGATACATAGAATTCTTCCAGGAATATGTTAAATTACTTGGAGTCAAAGACAATGTAACTGCCAAAATTGAAGAAATTTATAATTTTGAGAAAAAACTAGCTGAGGTGAAGTTTTTGAAACTTTTTAATGAGATTAATAATTACTGATATCAATCATCATACCTTAGATGAAAGTGATTGTAAAGGCAATATATAATTGAAATTACGAAAACAACAGGTCAAGGGGAAAATTCAGCAACATTAATTACTCTTATGTGCATATAAAAGTGCCAAAAAAATACAAATCAGGTACTCATAAAAAAAAAAGCAAATGACGTTTTCTGCAACATATAGATAGAAATTAATGAGGAACCATGTTTTGTTTATCTGTAACCTTAGAGTACACCCTACTGATTCTATGTTCGCCTAAATTTGTCCAAAGCCCTTAAGACCAAGAAATAAATGTGAAATGGCCTATTGAACATATATCGATTAATTCTTGATTTATGATAGATTTTTACTCCAAAAGAGAAAAGGATTGATGTAGAGAAAACTTACAACAAGATTAAGATTAAAGATTTACAGAATATATTAAATAATGAAGTAAGTAAGATCTCTTTGTCCAACCACCCTGGAATCACTTTTTATCTTCCATGTGAAAAATATTGATTTATAATGGATGGCACTTGATTGGTCAGTTCTGAACATGTCTCGCCTTTTCCAATTCTGGCTTTAATCGAACGGTACGGAACCGAATGTATAACATTCAAAATTCTACTTTTCTCTCAGCCAATTAAAATTCTTAACTAAAGTCATATCAGATGAATTCAATGATTAAAAAAGTTTAATTTTTCTCTCAGGTAGACATTATAAAAATTCTTAAAGATGGAATGAATGTAAGTGTTACCTCGGAAACTGAAATATTGGTACCGTTTCCTGATTATTTTAAAAATTTAACTCTCTTATTACAAGCAACAGATAACGAGTAAGAATATATATTTATTCATTTCTTTACTTTAATTTTGGGGACATGCTGTTGCTCACTGAGTTAGTGAGTTGCAATCTTGAGGTCATTTATACTGTGGCGTTGATCAAATGGCGTTGTGGGTTATAATCTTAATCAGTGTGTGAAATCTGGTGACCTTGAATATGATTTCTTTCCTCTTTATTTGACCCATTTATTATTATTTTTCATTGATTTTTTTTTTCATTATTAATTTATTTATTTATTTGATTTGTATTCATTCATTTTTTTTATTTATTTGATTTCTTTCTTTCTTAATTTCTTTCTTTCTTGTATCCTAGTATGTTTTATTTAATTTCTTTTTGTTTGAGTGTTATTTTGTTTTAGATTTACTACAATCAGCATAAGTTACCACAATACAGTGAGCTAATAAATGGAAAGATAAACATTACACAATATAATCTTATATTGCTGTTTTATATTTCAGAACCATAGCTAATTATTTAGTGTGGTCATTTATTCAAATGTTTCTTGGTTACCTGCCAAATGATTTTGTAAGAGTGGGGTTAATTTTAGACTCTATCGAACTTGGTATCAATGATGTCAGCCCAAGATGGCACCGGTGTGTGCAGAAAGCTTCACAAAAATTTGGATTTGCCGTCAGTGCCTTATTTGTATCAGAACGATTTTCCAAAGAAAGCAGAGCAGAAGTAAGAATTTAAAAAAAAGATTTGTCTGAAACTCAGAAGTATTCTTTGTCTTCGGTCTAAAACTACACAGAAACTTGCATATGAAAGAATGCCTTTAAAAACAAAACAAAGTTATTGATCATTCTTACTTTGGTCTGCCTCATGGGTTAAGTTCCCTAATCCTCTTATAAATGAGAAACGTACAACTTTCAATCACTAGTTTGCGACATCAGCATTAACTTGCTATCTACAAACCAACCAACCGTTCTATCATGTGACATCATTAGTAAAAGGTTCAAGTAAAGAGGCACGCATCAAAAGAGCAAGGCATTGTTTTGTACATCACAGAGGTAGATTTAACTTTATGGAAACCACTGAGTGATGCTGAATGACAATATGTAAGAGTTTAAAATGCTATCAGATGCTCCAGAAGTCTGAGTGATTCTGCAAAGCTTAATTGTTAAGTATGGCAACAGGGTCATTTTAGTATACATTTAAACAAAATCAACATTTTCCAGGTTGAAGAAATATTAAACAATATTAAAGAAGCTTTGATTGAAGATATTGAAGGATCTGATTGGATGGATAAAGAGACTGCTAACAAGGCTATTGAGAAGGCCCGAGCTGTGAAAAATATGATAGGATTCCCCGACTGGATCTTACAGCCTGAACGTCTGAATGAATATTATCAAAAGGTTAGTATATATTTGATTAAATAATCACTGTTAAAATAGTGCTAAATACATCAATTGTAGAGCGATATAGAAATACCACTGTTAAAATAGTGCCCAATACATTAATTGTAGAGCGATATTGAAATACCACTGTTAAAATAGTGCTCAATACATTAATTGTAGAGTGATATAGAAATAACACTGTTAAAATAGTGCTCATTACATCAATTGTAGAGCGATATTGAAATACCACTGTTAAAATAGGGCCCAATACATCAATTGTAGAGTGATATAGAAATACCTCTGTTAAAATAGTGCTAAATACAACAATTGTAGAGCGATATAGAAATACCTCTGTTAAAATAGTGCTCAATACATCAATTGTAGAGCGATATAGAAATACCACTGTTAAATTAGTGCCCAATACATCAATTGTAGAGTGATATAGAAACACCACTGTTAAAATAGTGCTAAATACATCAATTGTAGAGCGATATAGAAATACCACTGTTATAATAGTGCTCAATACATCAATTGTAGAGTGATATAGAAATACCTCTGTTAAAATAGTGCTCAATACATCAATTGTAGAGTGATATAGAAACACCACTGTTAAAATAGTGCTAAATACATCAATTGTAGAGCGATATAGAAATACCACTGTTTAAATAGTGCTCAATACATCAATTGTAGAGCGATATAGAAATGCCACTGTTAAAATAGTGCTAAATACATCAATTGTAGAGTGATATATAAATATCACTGTTAAAATAGTGCTAAATACATCAATTGTAGAGTGATATAGAAATACCACTGTTAAATTAGTGCCCAATACATCAATTGTAGAGTGATATAGAAATACCACTGTTAAATTAGTGCCCAATACATCAATTGTAGAGTGATATAGAAATACCACTGTTAAATTAGTGCCCAATACATCAATTGTAGAGTGATATAGAAATACCACTGTTAAATTAGCGCCCAATACATCAATTGTAGAGTGATATAGAAATACAACTGTTAAATTAGTGCCCAATACATCAATTGTAGAGTGATATAGAAATACAACTGTTAAATTAGTGCCCAATACATCAATTGTAGAGTGATATAGAAATACCATTGTTAAAATAGTGCTCATATATAGAAATTAAAACAGAAAGTTTCATGAGTTTCACGCTGTATTTAGGTACCAGCATAAACTCTGAGTAACAATATTTCTATTTGTTCATTAAGATCAAGGCAATATACACCAAAACAATATTACATTGATATTAATGTCTTTGTTTTTTTTCATTTTTAGGTTTCTATGGTAGAAAATGAATTTTTAGAAAATTATCTGAGATTAAGAAAATTCAGTTTACAGCAGGATATGGAGTATCTTCATAAGAAACCTGACCCTCTAGAGTAAGTCTTTACGATCAGCTGGGAAATTATTCTTGAAAACTTAACTAAGATAAAATACAAATTTTAAGAAATACAATAATCTGATTAGATAATAAGACTTAATTTAAAATGGATTTTAGTGTTCAACCAATCAGATGACTAAAATATCATCTTAAGTTTTGGAGGCCCCTGATCAAATAAAGATCTGAATGTCTGGTTTTGAATATTTTTTCTGGGTGACTCCACTAGCCATCCATGATCTAACAAAATTGTTATGCACCTCACTTTCTGGGTAATATGATATTCAACCAAGATTTCTATATGGGAGGAATGTGTGATAGTTTGTTGGTGTGGTCTGGTGAAACTTTCATTTCGTTTTTTATTAGCTTTTATCTTTAATATAATCACTTCAGTTAAGGTCTAACCACATCCCTCTTGAAGGTTCATCAAATTAACCTTTTGACCTTTTGATAACTGAAGTGGCTATGTTAAAAATAAAAGCTAATAAAGAAACAGAACAAAAGTTTGGTCTAATTTGAATTAGACTGCTGTCTATCTTGCATGTTCCAATGTTGATTCAATCAGTTGTTTTATTTCAGATGGGACATGTTTCCTAGTGATGTGAATGCTTATTATGATGCTTCAAATAATGTTATTGTTTTTCCTGCTGGTATTCTGCAGCCGCCATTTTATGATCCAGATATGCCAGTGTAAGCTTTTTGATTTTGATTCTTTTAACCAAAATATTATTGAGAATAACATATGATTGTACGTGAGACCTATATGAATTCTTACTTGTACTTTTTATAGTGTTATAGCTTCTTTAACAATTAATATCAAGTCAATTAAAAAAGAAGATTCCGACATATCAAGGAAAGCATCTGTCATTGTCGTTGAGGTGGATTGGATTGGCTAACTTTTAAATTGTTTTGCCTTTAGATGAACTATAAAAAACTAACCTACAGACTTCAAGTAAAAGAAATATTTTGCAACAGAGGCAACATCCTTTCTATATATAGCACAAAGTTTAACGTCTTTATTAGCCTAAACAAAGGGTGTGGATAATTCGGATTCATATTCCATTTTGTGTGCCAAACTATAGACTAACTGTTTGTATATAATTAATAATTTGATTACAGGTCTGTTAAATATGGTTCTGTTGGTATGATAATTGGTCATGAGTTAACACACGGCTTTGATAGTCAAGGTAAATAAATCATATTATTCATATTTCTAATATCTAGTGGCAGCTGCAGAACTTTTGATTGGAGGAGGGCCACTACCAAATTTACTTCCAATTCATTCTATTAATGGGGGTGAGGTAAACAAATTTTGGAAAATAAAAGCTCAAATTGTCTGCAATTTGATGCCCTCTGGCCCCCATTTGGAGCCACCACTGCTAATATTACTCCTTTCTTTGAACCAGTAACACCTGACCAATGTCTATTTTTCAATATTCTTTTGTTTGTTACTTGATAAAATGTATGAATATGTCGCAAAGCTAAAAAATCTCGTCCCCAAACTTCAGCATCCATTTTTTTTCAGGACGGAAATATGATGTTCATGGAAACCTGAGCAATTGGTGGTCGGAAGCGTCTGCTAAAAAATTCCAAGAGAAAGCCAAATGTATGGAAGATCAATATGGGAATTATGATATTAATGAAACCAAAGTAAGAAATTAATTTAGATGCATTATGCAAAGTTTAACTAGATTCCAGATGAATCCATATTTCTGAAATTTCATAAATGGATTATATAGAGACTTTCAAAACTTTATGTGTATAGGGGAAATTGATAGCAATGGTTTGCACCATTCCAATATTTAGTCAGACATCAGGTTGTTGCAATGCCAAATTCAAGAAGTATCATATCAAAGGACATATCATTGGGTTTTAACGTTTGAATCTGAATGCTGTCTGCATGGATATCAGCCCCGTCGTTAGGGTGTGGTCCATGGGGGCTGGGCCCCAGCAAGTGAGAATTAAGCACCAGCAAAACCTTCTTTAGTTCAGCAGAGATTGATTCATTTACAGTGACTTTGTACAAAATCAAAAAGATAAAGATTTAGATACGTTTTTGGCAGCTCAAAATTGTCAGAGATGAGTTTTCTGGGCCTTTCATTCAAAATACAAAATCTGAGCCCCAGCACCAATTCATTCCTGGTGACAGGTCTGATGGATATGTAAAATAACTAGTGAATTATTTCAGCTAAATGGTATCTATACCCTAACCGAGAATATAGCAGATAATGGTGGATTAAAGCTAGCTCTATCAGCATATAGAATATCAGGTATTCAAGAGGAAATACAACTACCTGGTTTAAAAATGGATACTTTACAACAGTTTTTTATGGGATTTGTTCAGGTAAGGGCTTCAACCAAATAATTCTCCACAACTGTTAAATTGTCAATATAGTGTGCAGGCATGTTTAATGCACACACACACACCAAGTCATGTCAGCATCTTGTGTTCTATAGCACAGTGGATTATATCATTGGTTCTTAACATGATGTCATTTGCTTGTTTATGTCAAGCAATTGGTGGTTGTGGGTTTCGATTTCGAACAGTCTGGTGACCTTTCAAGTCTTCACTCACTTTTTGAGTTGACCCAGCCGTAAATGGGTACAAATCATCAAGGAAAGAGGTTTGGCCCAGTACCCGCTGGTAGAAAGGATCTTTGACTGTGAAAGTTCTTTGTCTCAATAAAGCACAAAAACAGATATATCAATACAACCAACTTTATTTTTTTCTTTTCAGCCCTGGTGTTCCAAGTCTCGTCCACAAACATATAAAATGGATATTCAGACCGATTCACATTCGATAAAAAGATTTAGGTAAGGAAAAAGTTGAACCAGAAATAAATTACATTTCATCAGGTTTCAAAGATGAAATAGGAACTCAAGATTTTGATAAACATAAGTGAATCTAACATGAAAATAGGCTCAAATAAAGTTGGCCAGTGATGGTAGGAAAGCTAAATGAATTGATTAATACCTAAGGCATGGTTTTGAGCTTGTGGATCCAATGTAGTTCTGTGTTCTATGGTATACATCTATGGTATGAAAATATGGACCAGGTTGGACCAGGTTGGAGAATTAAATTCTATTTTGATAGGTAGTATTCATTTTAGATGTTTGACAAATACCAGCTGATAGATAGATTCTTAGAACGGAAGTTAAAAACGTTTAAAAAAATTTCTTTTTAAATTTTTCTGTTTCAGAGTTATTGGTTCCGTATCCAACCATCCAGAGTTTGGAAAAGCTTTCAAATGTAGAAAAAATGCACCAATGAATCCAGAATTAAAATGCTCAGTCTGGTGATCTCATTTTTGTTAGTTCATCTACAGTGACTGCAAAAAATCAACTTTAAATCTTGCTCAATACTATCTTTTTTTGAAATTTTATTTAAACTTAATAATGAATCTCATAAAACTCATTTAAAATAAATGTCTTCCTGTTAATATATTACCAATCAAAATTTCAAGGTTTAAATGCTTCCTGGATGACATCCGTCAAATCATATTATCAGTAGAAGATTAATGCTTTTTCTATGAAATTAAAAAAGTGGTATATAGACCTAGTGCTTCCATATTTATCCTTTCTGTCCAAAATAAGTAACTATGCAATTTAACTTTTTATATTCAAATGATCAAATATTAATGAATATTCCTTTTCTGTTTCCAATTTTAAAATGTTGTCATTCTGTTAAAATGTGATATAACTAACATTCCTGCAAATGATAATATTTTACCCACAATCATAACATCCATTGACTATGAGAATCAATGAGGACAAGTGAAAACTCTCTTAACCCACATATTTGAAAAGTCCCTACAGAATCACTTTATTATTATCTGCAGAACAATTACTCTTACCATTATCAACAAGGTTGGATATAATATGACAGGCAACAGGCAACATCCCTAATTTTAATATGAGCTCCTCCAATAATACATATACAGCAGTCATATTAACAGAAAGTATGCATGTGTGGAAGAGTTCATTAGAAAATTTAAGGGTGTAAAAAATTTTGACTGGCTCACTATATGTAGTCTTTGAAATATTTCCTTTTGAAAGGCAATCAAATTGAAATGTATATGGGTTGTGTAAATATGTAGAAAATAAAGTTTATTATGCTATTTGACCTTAAACTTGAGGGGTATTGTATATTAAAATAGTTATATTATGTTGCAAGCTAATGAACAATGAATCTCTGTTAAAATTTAAAACTGAATTGTCCATGTTTTTCCACTTTGATTTAACTCCACTTGCCTTACACGATCTGGCGAAATTGTTATACTTCTCCTGTTCTGGGAAATTTAATGTTCAACCAATCAAATGCTCTTTTAAATTATTTCCTGACTATATGCCAGACCAATTTTTAAAAAAATTGTGACTGATTTATATCAATTACTTCAACCTGTTATTGAACATAGTTCGAAGAATAATTTTGTCAGATCAAGGATGGCAAATGCAGAAAAACATAAAAGGAAATTTTTCAGTTTAGGTGTCATCACAAAGAGACCATTATGAATCTCAAATCTTACAATTGTTCACTAACTAAGACGATGTGTTTTAACTGATACTCTATGACATACCTGCATTCAAAAGGTTACTCATACATAAAATCATTTTATTATGATCATTATCAAGATATAATTATAGAATCTGTTCAATTTTTTGTGATCCTTTATTATTTTGTTTTTTGTTTTTATTATATTTTTAAAGAGAAAAAGTTGTGTTTATTTATCGAGTCTGTGTGTGCATTCCTTAATCAATTTCATGGAATCTGCTAAGCTCACATTTGTTTAGTACCTTGGTAGAACAAACACTGCAAATATCTGTTCTCTCAGCTTCACCTCTATTCTCATTGAGGTCTTCCCCTAAAAATTTAATTTTAAAGAGACAATTAGGCCATAGTCTTACGCCATGGTTCCAAAGCTTTTTGAATTTTTCCTTTGTTATACCCTCGCTGACAGACCCTACCCTCTCCTCTATCATAACCATAATATTACAACTGGATTCGTAGCATTGTTTGCAAGACAAAAATTTCTATGAGCCTTTTTGAGTACTCGCTGAGGTTCTCTCGGGTACCCCGAGGTTCAGAGGTTCTTTATATTACCCCATTGTCCATTCAGGATCCTCAATTTCGATTACCCCTTCTCCTTATAATGCCTTACTTAGCCTGATTAAATAGAACGATTTGAAATTATAATTTTCACAAAATTTTATGCTCGTCTACAAAGCGCCCCATTGCCCCCAAATATTTCAATATTACCCCTGCCCTAGGTGGTAATAGTGTATATGACATAGCCTAAATGTCTTGGTTGCACTTTCAGTACAGGTTACAATTAAACGTAGGCCTGCTAATTTCTCATAGTTACAGTCAAGGACATTATAATATTGGTATTTCAAAATAATAAGGTTTTATTTTTTCTTCATTTTTTTTTATACAGCTTAGACATACACCTGTAATGGATTTTACTACATACATCACATTTTAAGGTTTTGTATTATTCTCAAAGAATTCCTAAAACTTACATCCTTAATAATATCATTCATTAAATGTCTTTGTCAAAGGCCTAAAAATAAACTGTCCCTGCACGATTTCTTAATATCAATCTTTATTTACTCTTTATTTGTAATCATTGCCAAGCAGCCAAGTAGTAATATTAAAGGCCAATCGCAAGTATGATCAAAGGGACAAAACTCTTTTTAAGAATCCAGTTTCTAAAGTCAGACTACAGCTAGGCTGAATCAGGATAACTATTCAGTTGTTTATTTCATACGTCGCAAGTTTCAACAAAGCGCTGTCTTAATTTCATTTGATCATTTAAAAGTGTATCTACAACATTTTATGTCCAGAGCTCGACAAATAAGTAATTTTACCCTGAGTTTACATTTACAAATTTCTGGCTGGTTGTTCAAGTCTTCATTAATATAAATACTTCCGGATTGGATTGACAAACATGGCTTCCCCGATGGAAGAAACCTAGTCGGAATGTAGTTAAATAAGAATCTGTATATCCACCAAAGGATACAACCTGTGAAAGTTAAGAGGATTTGCTGGACAATCCACGCGCTCATAATGGATCAAATATATTATCAAAACATTCGCATGGTTCGACCAAATATGGGGCGTTATCCAAATCAAATCGGTGGCACCCGTCACCCTCGACCGCCTGTTAATGTGACACACACGATGCACGGTGTCGTACCTATGCATGTTTGGGCAAACGGTCCTCCTGTAAGAAACCATTACCCAATGGTGGCCCCAGACCATTTGAGCCATAAGAATGTAACTGACATTACTGAGAGTAGGCCTACTAAGCCTTTAATGTGTAATACTGAATCACAAACTGACTTTCCAAAAGAAATTGCAGATTTGCATTTGAAAGAATTGCCAAATTCTCTATATTTACATAAGGATAAAGTGAAACCTGAAAACATAAATGGTGTTAAAAAGACAGAAGGTACTTCAAATCAATTATTAGTTGTTCAGGACATGGCAGCTAATGTGATGACTAGTGGAACACACCCTCGTGGTTCCAAACATCAAAGAACACTTTCAACTGACTTTTCTCTCAGGGCAAAGACTGCAGTTATACAAGCTGAAAGTAAGGAACATCACTCAAGTGAAGCTGAAGAAAAGACACCAGAAACAACAGAAACCAAGAAGAAAAGGAAACGAAATCGGAAGAAAAAGAAAGGAAAAGGGGAAAATGTGGAAAATTCTGAGAATGCAGGCGATGCAAATCATGGTGCTGAAGAGGAAATAAATATTCGGTTAGAAGATGAGTTAGAATTCCCAGATCTATCTGGATCAAAACGTGTACCAAGTACTGCCCCAGCACTAGAAAACTCAACTGCCAGTAACATCAAGCAACTTGGTCTGAGTAATGGTGTTCAGGAGACAGAAGACATCCCTGATCCTGATCTGGGCAGTTTCGAAGTTGAAAATGATAGCAATGACCAGATTCTCTTCAAACAGGCAGCAGAAACGAAGAGTGCCAGAAAGAGGAGAAAAAGGAGAGATCAAGCAAACAAGGCAGCAAATGATGAAATGGCTGAAATTACTATCGAACAACAAATGCTACAAGAACTTGGTTTGAAGGCCAAGCGTGATCAAGGGCCAGCCAAAGAAGCCCCCATTGTAAATACACCAACACCTGCTCTGAAACCTCCTAAAACTGCTAATGGATCTGGTAAGAATAACCGCAAATCCAACCAACCAATTGCCTTAGACTTTGCTGCAATGATAGATGCCTTAGAACAAAAGAGGGATGATGCCATAACTACGAAAAATGCTCCAAAGAAACATGTGATAAAAAAGAAGGTGAAACCTGAACTTGAACCCCCAAGACGCCCTCACAATCCTCTGGATTCAACATGTCCTAAGGTCAAACGCGGGAAAGAACGTGAATTCCCTAAACCAAAGAAACCAAGTCCTTTGAAGAAAGTGATATTGAAGGAAAGGGAAGAAAAGAAACGAATGAGATTGTTGGAGGAGGATCCGTCAGGCGTGTCTGGGGGCAGCCAGGTTTGCGTTGGTGTTGTTAATCCAGAGAGTGATCTGTCCCAAGATGAAGACAAGGGAAAAGGTTCAGCAAGTGCAGAACTTTCACCAGTTAGTCAAACTTCACCCTTCAGTATGAGTCCACTGTCTCCAAGTGCCAGTCCCTTACAGTCCGGTTTCAACAGTCCAATTGCGAAGGATTCGTCCAATCCAGCACTATTGAAAATACATAGTCGTAGGTACCGTGAGTATTGTACACAGATGTTAGAAAAAGATATTGACAATTGTTGCCTTCAGTTTCTACAGAACCTAGTTCGTTACCAAGATAAACAATATCATAAAGATCCTAAAAAAGCCAAGTCGAAACGAAGAATTGTTTTAGGGCTGAGGGAAGTAACAAAACATTTGAAATTACAGAAAATTCGTTGTGTCATTATTTCACCAAATTTGGAAAAAATTCAGTCGAAAGGTGGTCTCGATGATGCCTTGAATAATATTCTGAATATGTGTACAGAGCAAGAAGTGCCTTATGTTTTTGCTCTGGGTAGAAGAGCTTTAGGAAGGGCATGTGCTAAGTTAGTTCCTGTCAGTGTTGTGGGTGTTTTCAACTTCGAGGGTTCGGAAAGACAATTCTGGCGTTTAATTGAACTGACACAAAAAGCTACGGACAGCTATAAAGAAATGGTGTCAAGTGTTGAAAAAGACCTTCAAGAAAATCCTAATAATCGTGCAGGACCATCTGGTGTTCCTAATTTGTTTGCTCATATGGGACATTCCCGTACCCCATCTGGTTGTAGTGCCATTTCATTTACCAGTAGTATTCTTTCTGAGCCAATCTCAGAAAATTATCCATACTCAGAGCCAGAGACTGATAGCAAGGGCTATGAAGTATCGAAAAGCCCCCGCTCACAAGTGACTGGTATTCAATCCTCAGTCATTAACGAACAGTCCAGTGTTTATTATGAAACTGATGCAGGTAATGAGGCAGATACTGAGGACTACCTGGAGCCTGTGGAACCATCGAAATCACCTCAGCCTTATTTTAATCATACTGGTGATAGCGATGAGGATGAGGATCCAGATAACATTGAAGATTTACCACACATAGATTCAATACACTACGGAAATTTTGATTTAAGTGTGGAAATCCTTTCCCAACATTCTTCTCGAACCATTGAAAACAGCGAGGCTATGTCTACACATTCCTCTAGAACTCTACGCGATGGCAGTCCAACCATGCTTCTAGAAAAGCTCAACGAGAAACATAGCTCCTCATCACAACAGAAAATAATAGATAAAGATAGAATTAAAAGTTGGGTGGAAGCTACTCAGGGTGTTGGAGATGATACCAGAGTAGATTCTGGTAGTGCTGAAGAGGAAGCAGGGCAACCAGTAGAAGGGGAAGAAGAACTCTGTGATATAACAACTGCTGTGGACAAAGAGGAGGTAGTCACAGCTAGCTAATATAAGTTTTCTGTATATAGAGGTTTTTTTTGCACTTTTTGGTATCATGTTCTTGAACATTCTAAAAAATGGGATTCTTTAAACCTACCCATGGTTATAATGGCTGAAGGTTGTTTTATAATTTAAACTGTATTAAAATACAACTTTTAACAAAGGCTGTGACAGTCTGCATTAATTAGTTTTAAAGGGATACTACCTTCTAGAATAAACATAAAATTTCAAATTCTGAAACTTGGCCGATCTTAGCGCTAGGATGTCCTAGAATCAATATTAGAAGATAAGAACCTAGGACATCCTAGCGCTAAGATTGTTTCGAGAATACAGTGCCTGGTTTCATAACAGAATCTCTGTATAATCTTGTAAATCTGTATATCTAAGTTATCAATGAAATAAAACTTCAAGTAATTATTGAAAAAAGCTTAAATATTTCAAAGCTTTTTTCATTAATAACTTGTGTTTATGGAGTTATAGGGCTTGAAACCTCGTATAACGATATCTGATGCGGAATTACTTTTCGACAAAAACGCCAAAAACTATTAGTTAAAATCTTTTTGATTATTTTTTTTTTACCGCTATACGTGGTTTTCATTCTTGGAAAATATAAACCTCGTATAACAATTCAAGATCACTGGCCTATTGAACCAAAAACTTGTATAATAATACAGTATACGAGGTTTTTCATCTTATACGCAGAAAAGGAACATTGAACCTTGTATATTAATATATTTTACGATGTTTTAAATCTGACTGTTTATATACGTGTCATTTAATTAGCGTTTTTTGAGTTATTTAGAATCAAAGAATACGAGGATACGTTCACAAGATCCGCACTTTTACAAGCTTTCGAACGGTACCAAAAAGTCAAAATGACCAAATATTGCATATACAAGGTTTCAAGCGATCGCCCACGATATAGTTTTAGTTATGACACCAGGCCACGTATTCTCGAAACGATCTTGGTGCTAGGATGTCCTAGAATCAATGTTAGAAGATAAGAACCTTTGACATCCTAGCACTAAGATAGTTTCGAAAATACATGGCCAGGTTAGTCCACTGGTAGAAATATACAGTTATTGGCCAAGTCTGAGAATTTAAACTCTATGTTATATCTCAGAGGTATTATTGCTTTAATAATCTTTTCTGATTTGAATTTTTTTTTTTTTTTTTTTTGGTATAATGCAATGATTATTGTATATCAGTTATTCATCAAATGTAGACTAGACCGTGAAACTAGTTAATCAAAAATCTTTATTTAAAGGTTTTATATATTTTTTTTTCTTTACCAGCTGATACACCTTCATTTCAGATTCACTGAACAGAATGAAATTTGATTTTGAGTTGTTTAATGTCTATCATCTGTTAAAGCAAATGATATATCCAATATATGAATATGTCCCAATCTTCAGTTTTTGTCAAATTATAGATCTTTATTACTCAAATAGATAATTGATGCAAAAGAAGTATGTTCTCTTCTTGTGACCTTGGCCAGTGCTTCAATAAGAGAGTATCTTCTATAACACCCAACACCACTATTTTAGAAAATATTTAGATGGTTACATTTCTTTCACAGATTTCAATACTGTTGGTTAATTTTAGACTAAAATTGATTTATTCCAATGCCGAAGTCCACAGTCCCTACATGTGACCTAGGCCAGTGGTTCTCTAAGGGAGTTTCTCTTATAAAACCTTATACTAGAAGTGACCTTCTTTACGGTCTGACTTTACTGATTCACTTTGTAAGAATTTGTGTTTCTTAATCTATATTTATAAACACAAAAATATGCAGAAAAACAGGACGCAAAAATCATTATATATAAAATTATACTGTTATTATATTGTTTTGATTTTGTTTGTTGTTTTCATGAATTAGAGGTTTAATTTATTGTTAATTTAATTTTTTGATTATTATTATTGTTATTTAAAGGAACTGTTTCATGTGCTGTAACTTATTTTCTGATAAAGCTCATTCAAACATTATAACAAAAACACAAGGAGTATATTAAGGTATAACTCAGTCCAGTGGACTGTTCTCATTGTCTTCATTACCGTTTTTCTTCTGTACACTGCTTCTTTCTTGTTATATATCCTCATGTTTACCCCCACTACTTCATTTCATCTGATGACGACACGTGAAAATTGTGTTGAAACGTTATGTGCTTTGTTATTAAAGAAGTGAGTTATACCATAATATACCCCTTGTGTTTTTGTCAAAATTCTACTCTCCACTTCTAAATGTCATTCAAATCTTATCACTCAAACATGCTTAGCCACCCCTAGCTCCTCTATCTTTACTTTATGCATGTATCCATAATCAGAAAACAAAGTAGTAGAAGTAGAAGCATGTTGATTGGCCAGTTTTAAAATCATGTGACATGAACACATATTAGCTCAGTCTCTTATTCAAAGGTGAAACCCCAGAAATATGTAATAGTTTCTGGCATGTTAAAGGGACGATGATTTCGACATCCAAGGATAAAATCCTTTAAAAATTATGTTTAACAATGTTATGTATTAATAATAACAGAAGTAAGACGAAAACGAAAGCTTGTAGAATAAAATACTTTAGTTACTCTTCCTCCTTTTATTATACAACAATAGAGTGATAGGACATTACTTTCAATGTTAGTAGGAGTAACAAAGTTGTGAAATTATGAATTATATTTATACTATGATTTTCCTTGATTTTATCTGAAGTTTATAACCATTTTACAAGCATATTTTTTTATGTGAGATGATTCTTTGAAGGGGAGAAGAGTCTATTTTTCAAGATTCTCTATGATCCTTTATCATGCTTATTATTAAAGCACAGCCATTGCTTTTGATGCACATTTTTGGGTAGTTTTAATTGCTTTTGTAAACCATATTGCTCATTAAAATTATAATATCCTGTCATGTCTGACTGAAGCTCTCAAGTGACTGGCAGCGATTTTGATATTGAGAACATCTTAAATCAAAATGAATTTGTTAGATTTTCAAGGCTGGATATACTTTGACAGGCAACATTAAACACCTTATTTCTAAAATGAGCTCCTCCAATCATACAATACCTTTTCCTATTGAATGAAAGTATGCATGTGGGGACGAGTTCATTAGAATGTATAGGGGTGTCAAATAGATAACTGGCACATTATATCCAACCTTGTAGATATTTATTACTTGTTTACATCACTAATTGTCAAAACATCTGAATTGATGCTCAATATTAAGGACATCAAAGACAAAAATGCCAATATTTTTTCATACAGGTATTATATATATTAGCTTAATCTCTTGATATAGTTGAATTTAAGATATCTCTATCATTTTTTTTAGAAAATAAGTGATTTGATCATGTTGCTTGTTCATTTAAATATTAACCCTTTCAACCCTAGCAGCCTGTTTATGGCCACTTAAATAATTAATATATACCCAAGCGGCCAGTAAATGGACCATTACTAAGTGACGTCCTACAACGTTAACATCATGCGCTTTAACTTATTTTATAAGTTCAGGGTATAAGACGTTTTATTTCATGTACACTCAGGGTTCAAAGGGTTAAAAATCAAATCTTAAATGCATTTCAGGCAACTCCTGCTTGTGTTTATATCAGGGCCGATGCATTAAAGCTGGTAGGACTTCTTTAATGCAATGTACATTAATAAACTTACTGTTGAAATGCAGAACTGGATGTTTCATGTTTTCAATGTGGTTTGAGTCAACCTGTCATCCACGATCTTACAAAATTGAATTATGTTGTATGATCCAATTAGTCATCATAATTAATTCCAGCCAATCAAACAAAAACACCGTTTTAAAATGCATATCCCATAATTCCTCATAGTAAGGTTATTTCATTGAACATTTGATTGGTTTAATATAAAATGATGCAGAATAATTTTGTCAAATCACGAATGGCAAGTTGAGTCTCCCGTACCTAGAGAAATGATAAGCATTTTAATCAGATTAATCAAGGAAGGCTTATTCCTTCTATTGACCTCAGTAAACAAAAACCAGTAAATTTGTGTTCAATTGGAGATTAGATTAATTCTTCTCTCTTGTTGAATGGAAAGTAACCCCACATAACCTCTTGGACATATTGTTAACAGTTGTGAGATTATCAAAATTAGTCGTTTTTCAAGTGATCAAAATAATGAGTTTTATGTCTTTGAATAAATTATGAACTTGTTATAAAATTTAGAATTAGCCTCAGGCACTTTCATTTTTCAATTTTAAAATCCAGCAAAAACTCTGGCCTGACCCTACCAAGTTCCTCAGATGTGATATACAGGGGGAAATATCATAACTAAGGAACTGTGTAGGGGCAAGTACTAGGTATATATTTAAAGTGTGTGAATATGTATATTTTGAGTCCAGATATATTTTATATGATGTATAGAGGTGTCTAGAGTATAATTAAACATTGTTTAATAAACAATCTGTATAATCCAAGTTTGTTGTATTTAATTCATTGTCGAATCTAAGAAAAATTTATGATAACACAATCATGAACCATTTGCTTCCCTCTTCCTTACAAATGACAAGACTCTTTTGTTTCCCCTTCAAATCCCTTATTACTTAGCACTGATAAAAATAAAGATATTACATTTGTATTGTATTTCATTTTCACAGAAGCATCATGGTGAAGTCATATGCCATTCAAGGTAAATATCCACCACAGCTTTCTCAGAAACAATGTGTGCCTTGGTAACATACAGTAGGTTTTCTATCTTAACCCCTGATTTCAGCTCATACCCAAGCTGTGATTTCAAGCAATTGAATAAGTGCACATTGAGGCTTGGTGCAATACAGAAATTAACTCTTAATTGGAGACAAATTGAGCACAACTGACGAGAAATCTCCCCAATAAAGGCCTAGAAACAATGGTTTAGTTTGAGAGTTCAAACTTCTATTGTACTACACTGAGCACTATTAATTTTTTATCAAGGATTTGAACAGAGAAGGCTAGAGTGTATTTTTATTAGAGTTAGGGGTGGGGATTTTTATTAATAGTGTCCCAATCAAACAGCTAAACGTTACTGCAAGGTACAAATCTCCGACCTTTGATGCAAGGGCGACTTGAATCTACAGAAGCATTACTAAGTACAGTAGGCTTGTACATTTCAAGAAAATATTTGACAGATGAAAACGAAAGTAGTGAACTGTCAAATTTGCACATGCGCATTAAATCACAAATTGTAAACTTCCGGTTATGAAACTTCACCACACGTGTGCAATATTTCTGTAAACCTGTTGAATTGTTTTAAAATGGCATCAAAAAATAAGAAAGGTGCCAAGCAAGACGGTTAGTGCGTTCATTAATCGATCGAGACATGTTCACTGTACACTTGAATTCTCAGTACAAGTGCGGATCTGACGATGAACAGTCTCACTCAGTAAAAAGTCACTCAAAGCCAATGGAGTCAATGTTCATTGACATTCACTCTTTGTTGCAGTTCTTCCAGATAAAATGCAGTATCATTTCATCATAGAAGAGTTCAGTGGAAAGAGCCTCCCAGGTGGAAAGGGTGTCTATTAGTTGTAAGACTTGTTGGCAATTGATAATATTTCAGTTCTAATTTTGTTATCTTTGCTTGATTATCATACTAAATGGTTATTGAGTCAAATGATGCTAATCATTGAGCCATGAATTGAAATAACAGTCTTAGATTGCCCCGCTATGCCCCCACTAGCACAGCTTCCAACCACTGATGATCACTCAAAATTAAGATTTGATTGTGTAGGCCTAAGACGTTGACAAAATTTTCCTTTGCATTTCATCTTCAGTTATACCTAAAACATACAAAAGTGAAACATCAGGAAATGTAACTAATGCTGTTGAACAGGCAGAGGAACATTTAAAGGTATGTATGTTCAGTGGCATTTCTATGAATCATTAGATCAGGGGGTAGAGATGGGGGCAAGAATTGTCTAGAAGACTAACAAAGGCATTTCTTTCTTTCTCTAAGATGTGCTCCCTTCAAAGAAAGAGGCCAACCACTATGTATGTTGTTTATTTGCATTAATACTTGGTATTTTACAATAATATTTAGTACCGATACAAGTATTTTGTTCAAATGGATTATTACAAGATATGGGCAATATATTAACAATGTAGATGTCTTTGACTAGATAAGGTCTGACACAATGGAACTCCTTCTGTATTGTATATTTTGAATTTTTGATTGATACTACTATCTTCACACTTTTGTCGAATTTTTTGTGAATTTGAATATCAGTGTCAAAACACTTGTTACAGGTCAGCATTCCAAAGAAACTAGAAAGTGATATATTAACCCTAATTCAAGAACATAATGATCAAACCAAGAGTTATGGAGAATTATCGAAAAGGCTGACCTCTAGAAAACTCACAGTAAGTTTTATAAGCTTAACAGGAACTAAAGGAACATTCTAATCAGAAAAGAGGCATAATTTATCTTCTGATGGACTACTACGGCTGGATATATCTTGACATGTAACACAAAACACCCCTAAGTTTTAAATGAGTTCTTCCAATCACCATATTGTAGGATAGGACGTGTGCATGTGTAGAAGAGTTCAATAAAAAATAGAGGGGTGTTAGATAGTCAAATATATGAAAATGATATAATTTCAGGATGTGTATAATAGTTTATCAGATGCTGGTTTCACCCAGAAACAGATAGAAAACACTATGAATAATACTATAATGAAAGGTGGTGATTTAATAACAGCTCTAGATTGGCTATGTTTAAATATTGCTAATGGTATGTAACTTTTAGTCTGATAGTTTACTCGTCTTGATTTCCACCAATCATTGATGATAAGTTCTTCATTTGGTTTTCTGCCTATAATTTGATTATGCAAGAAGGTCTCAAAAACACATATAAATAGTCTGTATAAACATAGGCTAAAACACAATAAGAACATGTAAGGTATATGTCAAAATCTTATAGGGAACATATTATTTAAAGATTCATTGCATCAATAATCTTCTTGCGCCATTCCTTGGAACGAAATTCTTTTAAATTTTTATGTATTTATAAGATTGTGTGTCTGGTTTTGATTTAAAAGTCCAGCTTGAACTAATAATTAATTGCACTGACCTTTGAGATGACTGCTTGAATTTAGACTCAAATTGTCTTACAAATTTCAGATCAGTTGCCTGCAGGTTTCTCAGAAACATTATTACGAGAAGAAGAAAAGAAACGAAGGCAGCAGTTTGATCAATCATTACAAGTACAAAAATCACATATTGATGATGTAGCTGAGACAAAACAATCATCTAAATCACAGAAGAAGGTCTGTAAAAACTTTGGAAACACTCTAGGTCTTACAGATAACCTGACCAATCTGGTCCTACATATTCCGAGGGTGTGATATGTGGATGGGATATGGGCGCATTTAGGGCTATTAATGCTCGGATTCATTTTTGGATCGTTAGTTTTGGGGAATTTTCATCATGATAAAGGCCAAATTTGGCATAACGTTTGGTGTCTACACAAAGCTGAACCATTAATGAGTCATTGTTTATAAGACATATAGAAGTAGGAAGATTACAAATAAGACACTAAAATATATAGATATACTACTTCTGCATTTATTACATACTACGTTTCGGAACACATACAGGTAACGTTATCAAGTAAAAATAGTAGTATATCTATATATCTTAGTGTTTTATCATTAATGAGTCGATCAAAACATTGCCAAATATTCTAAAATGTTCCTGTGCCCCACACGATATAACTTTTCTAATGGTAAAAGTTCTGACAGAGATTAGAAATGGAATATTTGGTTATGTTTGTTCTTTATAGAATGTTTTCATAAACAACTTAAATTGCAGAAGAAAAAGAAGAAATCTGGTGGTGGTGAGAACAAGGGAGGTAATATGAAGAATTGGATCTTACAGTACGCTAATATGAGCTCTTCAGAGTCAGAAGGTGAAGGTGGTCCAAAAGAATTTGATCCAGTAAGTATGCATGTTACAAGATAGACTAATGACTTTGCTGTTCAAGTCTAAGTAATAACTGTAGCTAAAGATGTAGGGATTACCTGTTCTTTTAGAATAGGCTAGAGCTGATTCTACTATCTTAACTTGGCATGCATTTTGAAAAGTCCAAATAGCTAATAATGTAACTTTGGTACTTTGTCCACAAGAACAGGACTTTGGACTTAACTATAATGTTATTTCTGAAGTTTTATTGCTTCATCATCCTCTTCTTAGATACATGTACATGTAATTCCTGCCAGATTTTTAAACAAGCTGTCCAAATATTTTACCGTGCATATAGTACTCTTTTAAAATACGGCTTTATATTTTCTGTTTTGTTGGTGTAAGCTTGCAGTGCAGCATTTAGTTTTTTTTATTTTAAAAAGGTTTTGTCAATTTGATTGAGGGCAATATAATTAGTGACTAAATTTCATTTAAATTGTAGAATTCTAAATACCTATCTCTGCATGAGAAATTAGAAGATGTCAAGGAGCAGGCTAGCTTAGCTAAACAACAAGGCAACGAATCCATTCATAAAAAACTGTCAAAAACAATACGTGAAATGACTGTAGGTAAGTACAATTAGGAAATTTAGTTTAACAGAACCCTGTTGTTTCTAACACGACTGTCTTCATTAGCCCACATGGTGCAGAAAAAGAGAAACGTTTCATTTGTATAACGTGAATTTCTTCCAATCAATGCCAAGATGACAATAACTCTGACCCGTTTGTTCGATGTGAAACTTTAGATGGAATAGCGGACCAGTTTAGGGATAGAGTTTATGTTTGTCACTTTGAAGTAATAAAGGTTAGAGGGATTGGCATGGAAATAGCGTCTAGTTGTTCAGGTGTGATAACGGAATCGGTCCTGTGTGCTATGGACTGTGCATGTGATCAATATACTGTTGAAAATGAATAAGGAGTAGACTAGGGTTACTGTTCTGGCAAAATTTTCCTCATTGTGCGCTGCATGACTTTGCCACCTTCATTAGCACAATCAAGACAGGATGTAAAACTCAATTAAATCAACTCAGTTGTTCAGATGGGAATAAAGAAAAGGGGCTCTACGTGCTACCTTCAGTGTATGTGAAAGATCTGATAGTACCATTGACAATAAGGAAGAGACTAATGTTACTGTTCAACTGTTACAACATGATTTTCCTTTTGACACTTTCATTATCACAAGCAGAGAGATAGGAAACTCAATTTCATTTCATAAATTTATAGAAAAAAAATATTGCAATGACCTTTAAAAAACCTTTTGATATTATTGGAGCATGTAGATTTCAAACTGAAGAATATCGACAGGTTTATGTTTGAACATATTTACAGAAATGAATGCCTTAGAAACTTTCCCTGGATTTGATCCAAGTATCAAGCCTGCTCCCGCACCAAAAGAAGAAAAAAAGGTGTTACCAAAGCCTGCAGAAGCTTCTAAAGCTGAGAGTTTACCCAGTTCCAGTCAGTCTGTTTCTAGTTCCAGTGGGGAGAAGGTAAAGAAAGTAGAAAATGACATTGATTTCGTTTGTTTTGATGCTCTTGAAGAACATGCTGTGAAGTCCCCAGTACAAGGTAAGAGTTTATAATAATAATAATAATAATAATAATAATAATAATCTTTATTACAATGACCTTATAAAGAAAAATTAACAAAAATTTGAACATTGCTCATACCCAATTACCAATAGAACAATTTACAATTAAAATATATATTATATAATTCAATAATGGTTTACACAAATCAATTTTATAATAATATTTAGAAAATTAATTTATTCATTTCAATAATAGATTAAATTAGATAATATTTATGTAATTCAATAGAATAATGTTATGATATGAATACAATATCGTTGTTGTTTGGATTTCGGTTTTGGTTAAGCAGTTTGGATCGTTAGTACTTGGTTCATTTACCTCACGGATAAGATATCAAACATCCTAATTTTAGAATGATACCACTTAATAAACATCTAGACAGATGTGGTGGAGGTGAATTCAATGTTTTTCCTATGTATTAACTTCATTCCAACAATGAAGCGATGTTAGAAATAAAAGAAAGCTATTTTATTTTTAAATAGAATCCTAAACTCAATTCTAGACATGTATAAGTTAATGATTTGATATATATTTTAGTCTATTTATACAAAGACTGTATAACACTTCAATATCAAGAGCATAACAATTTCTTTGCAGAAGGGATCAGTAATTATTTTATTTCACTACGAGTCAATCTCTTAATGAGTATCAATCTCCACTAATCATCCATGATCTGACCAAATTTTTTCATGACATATGTTCACATATTCAATCAATCAAATGCTTCATTAGATTAAACATTGGAAGACAACATGTCTGGAAGTTTTATATTTATGGATTGAATATGGCCAACCCCTGAATATGAGTTATTGTCAACTAACTAATAACAGTGTTTTTGATTGCTTAGCTTGAGGTATGGCAACTCTTGATGCCAGTGAGTAATAATGCCCTTCGATTCCAGTCAAAAGTGTAGTAAATGGCAAACGTAAACATAATGCAAACTACCAATGATTGTCTATACGAACAGGTGTGGGCAGTTTGAGATGAGTTCTTGCCTTTCGTACTTGCTGGTTTTCAGTGAGTTTGCTTACTTTATTCGTTCATCTAAAATCCAATTTTTGAATGTCCCCCTCCACCCCCACCCGTCAATTTACAATTAACATTTGTCGTTATGAGAAGTAAGTAAGTTAGATCAGAAAGTATAAGAGATCTGATAGAACTCAAGGAAGTATTGGAGATAGATTACAGTATGTACAGTGAGATGGCTTAGGGACTCCCCCAGGTTTGCTGTGTCCTTCCCAAGTCACAAGATGATCTTCTAAAATATATTCTCTAAAATCTACGAAACCATTTTCTTTCATTAATCTCAGTTCATGTAGATTCACATTCTCTGTGTAAAGTATTTCAACTTTTAAATGGATTCCATGAGAGACAAAAAATGTGTTAGAGTTCTGGTTTTTACAGAAAAATGGATTATTGGTGATGTCAAGTTTTACCAATCTGTTTTTACAATATCTGTCCTCATCACTGTCAATTTTCGTTAAAACTAGAGTGATATAGTGAGATTTCCCATGAACACATGTGAAATCGGCGAAATAAAGATGGCAACCCTCGACAAGATAGTCTGGTGGAATCATTATTCTATAGTTACCAAAACTGCTATCTTCTGGTATTTCTCCAGAGATGTTTTTTGCATTAGCCAAGAAAAATAATCCATTGATTTTGTTATTGATGCTTGAACCTGGATCTCCATTGTTATCTTTTACATATTTTTCCATGATTCCAGTTTCTCGAGCTTTATAAATGGTAGGGTGGTCTGTAGGTTTATTACGGTAAAGATGATGAACAATTGCTTTACAAGCTCCAATTCTTCTCAAATGTATTTCTGCCAAAGTTACAAGGTTTTTGACATCTACTTGTGTATTATCTGAAAATGAATAAAATAAGTAAAATCGTTTGATATCTATAGTGGTGTGTTTTATCATATTATGAATTTGATCAATGAGATCTCAGATGAGTACAAAGTTGATTCTATCGGGCTTTCTCAGTTATTGCCCTTGACATTGTCATAAATAATTCATCTTGCCAGAATGGGAATTTTATTTAATTTCACTAATGAAACTTGATGTGTATTTGGATTAACAGTTTTTGTACTTTTATCCTTGATTATGTTGTAATTTATATTGATTTTGGTAATCTTAGTTCTTCACTCATCCCTCTTACTGTTTTGAAAAACAAGATTGATCAACTAATAGGAGATGTTTCTAGATTTTCTAGTGGTTCAAAAGATCTGAGCAGAACACAAATCTCAATACATACAAGATGATAAATTTTTTTGATAGATTATTATTGATATGAGATCAGTTTGTTGATTAACAGTATATTGTCTAGTTTGTTGTTGGACTTTGTATAGTTGATATTGATATCTGTGTCTTGACTTTAGTAAAATACAGGAACTTATAGTGGAAGAGGTAGTTTGTAATAGTTCAAGATACTGAATACCAGTTGCCTTTTGAGTCAATAACAATATATAGTAATTGGTATTGAAGGACAATGGACAATTTTTCTGTACGAACTGAAGGGTTAAGGTGTTTGGTTCTGAAACATGTTGATTCACTTCTACATCCATGTGTTCTGTATTTAGGATCTGCAAAAAGAGCATGTAGCTAGTTAGACCTGACTGTTAAAATTGAGTTACCAGACATGTTTTAGAGGACATGTAACTTATTTCACACAAGAAAACTCTTTTGTTGTTATATTGATCTATGGAAAACATCATTCAAAACCAAAAATTTTGTATCAATGTGTCTGACTTTCGAAACCACTGGCCATGACATAAGTTATAGTACTAGCGACCTTAAGATCTACAGCAGATAACAATCTTACTAAGTTTTGAATACCTATGAGTATTAGAAGCTAAGATCCTTGGTAGGGCTGGGCGATATACCAGTACCACGATAAATACTGGTATTTAATAAAATCGCCTGATTAAAAAATACTGAAATATCGCCATATTGTGATATATGGTAATTATCATGATATACCCTAAAATTTTTTGTCGAGATCAGATCATCTACATAATTTGAACAAGTAACTTAATATTTGAAACAGATGTCTTATTCATGATGCGATATATATCCATATCGTGATATATTGATGCTTAAAATCGTGATATCAACTTGAACCAATATCGCCCAGACCTAATCCTAGGAGATATTAGTGCTGAGAATGGCTAAGATCGTTTGAGAATACATGGCCAGTAGTAGTATACCATACAGCTCTATTGTATTAAATAACCATTAAAACGAACTTACTGTGGACTGTTCATTTTTACATGTAAATCTGCATTCGTGATTTTTATAACCATCCATGTTGATTCTCATTGACTCAATATCCTTGATCTCATTATTGTCTGACAGTTTATAGAATGTGATCACAAAAGGACTGTAAGGATTTTCATTTTTCATCAACCACTCTTCATATATATTGAAAACATAGAAAGTCATTCTGCTCAATTTTTGGTTTTGGATGCTGATAGCATATTTAGCTGCTTTCGGTAAGTAGAGAGAGGTGTAGATAAATTCCTCATGTCCAATATACACTGTTTTCTGAAAATAAATGGGTATAGTTAAATTTCAACTTATTCAATATTTCTTTATGCTAACTCTTGCAAGCCCTAAAGGCCTGAACAGTACAGTTTGCCGTGTGGTATCCTGTGTGTTTTCCATACAGAATGCCTCAAGGTGTTTTCATATATCCATTATTAGAGAGTCCATTCATATAGCGTCAAGTCCGGATGCCTCCAGAGCAAATTAGTACGTTGCTGCAATGCCAATTTAGCCAATCAGCAGGCAGTTTCTAGTCGAGTCTTGGTACATTCAAATTTAACCCAATTGGTCCATTGAGAAAACCATGCCTGTTTCGTCAGATCCTATTGGAACGACAAGTGTAGACTGCATGCCAATCTGTATGTTCAGATCTTTATTGTATATAGCCATATATTAAACATAATATATAAAAAAGTCTTAAAGATGGGTTTCCTTATTTTTTAACTATTTGATTAATTGGTGTTTCTAATTATTATCATGTATTCTTAATCATATCATTATGTTATTATGTTTTAATCATAACAGTCTGGATAAACAAAAAACACCTTTTGACCTTTCTTGATCGGTCACTCATTGGAATTCTGCTGTTAATTCTCTTCTAATTTAGCTAATTATGAATTAATTATGGACATGTGATACAAACTGGTATTTTTCCAAGTCATAAGAACACTTCTACTTTCTATTCATATAAGTGTTTGCATTTTCATTTTCATAAATGAAAATAAGAGAACCCATCTTTAAGGATAAAGTGAAACTGAAATTGATACATCAGGGTTAGACTGACATTTTTTTTTTAGCAATTTGTTATACCAAATTATAGTTTTGGTTAATCAAGTTAAATTTTGATAACAATTTAAAATGTTCCAGTATGTGCCTTCAAATATACAATTTGATTTGATTTGCAGATAGTGGTGATAAATTTAAATTTTGCTAATCATAGGAAATATTGAATCTCAAAATGGGTCAAACTACGATGAGATACCGTTTAAATTGAACCCTATAATACATATAGATTGTGTGCCAAAATATTCAGGAATCATAAAGCAATTTTCATAATCTATATGAAAATTTGATAATTTACTTGTTGAAGTCCCAAACTAAAGGTGCCATCACACCATAGCAATCAGTGATCCTATGGTGTGAACTTTAACTATGATATTGATAAAAAGATTTTTAAAGTCTTACCGTATTCATAATTGTAAAACATTTGCTTGAATAGAGTTAATGTTTTTCGATGACTGTTTCTGCTGTAATTGTCCCATATTGTAGTGTATGTTTATCAGTGCAAAAAATAATGCCTATAATAGCATTCTGAAAATTTGTTGAAAACGAAAGTAGAATTCAAAGTAGGCCTACATTTAAAGGGGTTGTAAACTATTATAGTGCCCTTTTGTTTTTCATGTGTATCAGGGCCATTCATGGCTTCTGTTCACATTATTCCAATATTCTGTCAGATGTTAATAACAAGACCAAGCGGAGTGTATCTGAAAATTGTAACACTGATACACATTAGTTTAGAAAACCTCTCTAAAATCCCTTAAGCATAAAGCAATATGCATTTTCCTAGATAGAAACCTAACACATGACAATTATATTGTAGGTAGAAAATTTAGTACATGTACTATACGATTATTACAGGAAGTTTTTAACTATCCATACACCACAATCACATATACACAATAATAAAGGTAAAGACATGTACATTGATATTCCTCATATAACACCTTTTATTGCTCTTTTAACAAAAAAAGTTATTTTCCTTTGTTTGAAAGTGAAAGTAGACCTACACTAATTCTTTGAAAGATTGGTTACATCAATAGTTTAAATTATTCTTCGAAATGTCATTTATATCTCCAGAATATCTTATTATGTATTGAGGCTTAGGTTAGGCTACCGTTGGACCTCGATGTTTACGCTGTATGAGTCACATTTCGCAGTTTTTTTTCTTCCAAGAAATGAAATAATAATAATAATAACTTTTATTTGAACTCATTTAAACAGAAGTGTAATATTCAATAGGTCTCACTAGACTACAAATTATATACAAGATTACTCAACTTCAAAATTGTACCGAGTGTTATTGTCAGCAAAAGAAAAAATTATTATTTGGATATGTGATTTTTCTAAGGATAATTTTCTGTCTGAAGAATGGGTCTTAGGCCTTATCATCACATGAAAAATTCTGGCTGAAGAAACCAAAATTATTTTCTGAATCTGAATCTTAAAGGGACAGGTTTGCCATTTTGGGGGTTGATTTGAGTCTTGAAATATTTGAATAGTCTTCAGAAGTACTAGAAATGTATGAAAATAGTATAATTTCTTTAAAAATATCTCCATATTTTCCATATATCACAGTCATATATCATAGTCTGAAAACCCCTGCTCTAATGTTTACAATGAGGTCCTGTAGATCTTTGGAATGGTCATGTGATTAAATTTGTCAATATAAAGACTCTTAAAGGGAAAGAAGAGTTTGTAGGATTTTTAAAAATATTTATTAGATATAGTTAAAGGGTCAGATGCGTAATCTCAGAAACGGGAATTTTTCATCTAAGCCAATCAGTAATAGTCATTACCGTTGAAATGTAAGACTTCAAATCCATGTGTGTCCAGAATTTGAAAGTTAAAAAGACAAGTCGTCTAATTAAAATAGGTATCAACCTTCGTTCCATTTTTCTTTCACAGAAGTCTTGAACAATCGTCAAAATAACCCTAATAGTTAGATCCTATGAAGTGAAATTTTCTTGGGCAAAGGGAGAAAAATGACTTATTTACTTAGACCCTAATGCTAGCTTAATGAAATAAATTTTCACTTGATATAAAATTTAGCCAATGCTGATTGGATAAAAAAGTGGGTTAAGTCCTGTTTTTGTGATTTTTTTTTATTTCATCATGATGATTAATGATTTATATTGCAGCTAAACCAGGAAAAACCAAAGCAGTAGAAGATGTGAGAAAGTTTGAATATACAAAACAACAATGGACTGGCAAGGCTCCAAAACAGTTTCTTATAGATTGGGTTCGAAAACATCTCCCAAAATCTGATCCTCCAAAATATTCCAAAATACAACTTAAAATGAACAGATTTAAAAGCAAGTAAGTGAAAATTTTGAAATGAGAATTTTTTAACCACTTGAAACGTTACTGTACACATGTACTGTATACATGTACCTAATCTCTGGTGGATGTAGATTCAAATTTGCTTGGAAAACTAGAGTCTATGAGGAATAAAAGAATTTAATTTTTAAAGGCCCATAATAAATACTTTTATTGTTATTATTTTTTTATTATTAAGATTTTTATATGGCGCTATCTTTCACGATAAGTTAATATATTTTATTATATTTCTGTTTGTATTTGTAGAGTTCGTATTGATAGAAAAAAAGATGGTGGAATGCTAGAATTAACACCTGAGATTTTATGTGAAAATGTGAAGGAAGCTGAACAACTGGCTTCAACATTAGCTTTATATCATCTGTGTAAGGGCCAGGTGAGTTTAATTCAAAAAAATTATTGAAACATGGGAGTATTTCTGGCCTCTTAAAGTGGCAGTACCAGATTAAATTTATCAACTGAATTAAGGACAGATGGATAACTCAGTTGCTTACTAGATGAGTCCCCATCTGATCAAAAATTGTCAAAATTAGTTTAGACTAGAACTGTGAACAGCTCTGAGGGTGGCAACGAGACCTTATCCCATGGTTTTTGAACCTTTTGAAACTTCTAGCCTGTTAACTTTCAACTCTGGCGCTTTTAAGCCTACAATTTATGAACAAGAAATTAAAATTTTCAGGTATCTGATTAATAAATCAATTATACCATCATGGCTGGTTGAACCAACTCCTCTGGCCCCCATCCCCAGACAAAATGTATTAAAGTAATACCGTAATCGTCAGCACACAATATAATTTAAGTGGTTCACAACTTATGCTGGAAGGCAATATTATAAGTGTTCAGTCAAATCATCGTCATGTCAACCTGGATAATTTGTTCCCAGGTGACATGCCAACATGTCCCAACACCCATGTCACATAAAGAGAGAAAATAGAGTACATCCTAATTATGAAAAACACATTGATGTGGGGTGAATACTTTTGATGTTATGACCAGAATTGAAAATTTTGATTATAAATTGAGAAATTAATAAAATTCTATAAAAACGTGCAACTCTAGTATGTCACTTCCTGTTTGAATTTTTTCTTATTAAGTGATTCAAATTTTTTGTTATAGATAATCTATACGTTTTTTGTCCACATTTTTTGATTACACTGAGTGCGGGGTCACCCAAACTGGAAGTGATTTAAAACTTTTGATTATGCAGTCTTATTTGTATTAGCCTTCTGTCTCTATCCTGTAATTTTCAGATCTATCTGATGATTAGCACACCGAAGAAGAAAATTTCAAAATTTTTCATGCAAATGTTTTTCTCTATAAAATCAGTCTACATAAACTTTGCAGCCTCCAAACCAATTTTTCCACATTATGCAATATGTCACTTCTGGTCTAGCAAAAATTTCAATTAGCATATTCCTTTTTGATTCCAGTCAACATTAAGATGTTTGTTCAAAACAGAAATACTCTTGTCATTCTAAGTTTGTTCTAGGAAAGCTTCCCGAAAAATTGAAATAAAAACACACAGTGGCAATCTACAAATCCATTTGCCAGTAATAATGTAAAGCTTCCTCCATTACTAATAGTGTCTGAAAAATATCTATCATTTAAGAAAATGTCAAGCTAAAATATACATCTATAATGTTTTGTGTTTAAAGGGTTAGCTCATATATTTTTTTTCCATATTTGAAAATAATCATCATATTCTGTAATTTTTTTTAAAACTTAAAATTTTATATTTTCAGTCGGTGCATCAGTTATTGCCTCCTCCATTTCGTGACATCTGGTTGGAATGGTTGGATGCTGAAAAAACTAAAAAACAAAATGCCATAGATAAAGAAAACAAGGTAAAATTTTACTTATTATGATATTTCTAAGATACTTTCATCTACTGTTAATTGTGTCTTAAATCTTATTCTGCTTCTGTTAAGGTTTGATCATTAATGTAGAGCTTTTCACCGCTTGCAATTCAAATAATAAATCCACCAGTTATGTTGTTCTCTTACCACCATACACCCATATACCGTATATTTGTGTGTATAATACGCAGATTTTTACAACAATAAGTAGCCAATATGTAAGTAAGTCCCTGAAGTCCAATCTCTGGCAACCGTACTACTAAAAAACTTTTTGCAGCATTTCTAAAGGTGCGTGCACAGAAACGGTCTTGGTCAGAGATTTTTGTTGCCTACTTGAGTCTTGTCAAGGATTTCACAGACACGGGCACACAAGGAAACAAAAATCACCAGTCGGTCGTTTTCCACTATGTCGATAATCACGTGCGGAGAATGCAATTGAAAGGAAAATGAATCTGATTGGATGACGACGGTCTGTCTTGCAAACGATAAAAAATATCAGACACAGTTATACATCCTGTCGGAGACCGAACTTTTACCCAAGACTCTAATCGCCGACAAAAATCTTATGCTTTGATTACATTTTCAGCCAAGAGACCAATATATATCTAAATTAATGAAGAAATTAAAAATAGAAAATAAGAATAATGAAGATAGCACTAATGGAAAAGAAAATATGGAGGAAAAAGAAATGACTTGGGAAGATTTGGCTGATGAAGACATCGTAAGAGTCTAGTCTTTATAATTTTCCATCTGTTAATCAACATCTTAAAAACACTGGTTGTGGCAAGAGTCTACTCTATATTTTCCAAGCTGCTTTCCAACATTGACTCATCGGATTGGTTTCTTTGTTGTTTAACTGTTTTACGCCTAGAAAGAAATAACCTACAGATATATGACATTTATATATTCCAGGATATAAAACCAGAAACCAAGAAAAATAAAAAAGGAAAGAAAGTGAAATTAAAATTAAAATCTGATCAGATATATAATATACTGACTAATAATCAGACTAATGATATATATAGAGAGTTATATAGTATACGAGAAAATTTACCTGTATACCAATATAGGCAGGTTATTATTGATAAATTATTTCAAAATAACGTCATAGTGATAGCCGGTGAAACGGGTAGCGGTAAAAGTACTCAAGTACCACAATTTATTTTAGAGGCAAGTAATTTTGAAATATTTGTATAATTCAGACAATTTATTGAACAGGAAAAGGGAAATAAGAGCTGAGTGATGATAAACAGAAATTAATTTGAAATTCATTGTTGATTAAAGCTATCATGTCTTCATTTGGATGAAATTGATTAATTGAAAAATGTGCCCCTCGTCCTTACAGATAGGTTTTTGATTATGATTATTTTCTACAAGATTGTTGTTAAGATACTGTACATTATCAGTAAGTTAGTAATTATTCAGTAGGATTCCTTTATAGATTATAATTGAATTTTTAAGAGAACATGATAGCTTTAAGGGCAATATTAATGGAAGTGTTCATAATTCACCTGAATGCTCCATGTTCATCTAATTGGTATTAAACTTGATAATAATGCTCAATAGATAAACAAGTGGAGTTGTCTGATAAATTTGCTATCAATCTAAGTGATTTTTTACTTTCGTGAATTGTATTTTTTCAGGATATGATACGGAAGGGAGAGGGTGAAAAATGTAACATAATATGTACACAACCACGTCGTATATCTGCTATTAGTCTGGCAACACGTGTCTCTCAAGAACTTGGTGAAAACAATTTAGGTTCTAAAGACTCGTTATGTGGGTATCAGATACGATTTGAATCGAAGAAAAATATGAATACTAAGTTATTATATTGTACTACTGGTGTTATATTACGACAATTACAGAATCAACCAAATTTAAACGATGTTTCACATCTTGTTATTGATGAGGTCAGTGAGGTCATTTATTCACGATGATTTAAATTAGACATCCAAAATTTGTTGAAAAATAAGAAGTCCTTTATGTTGGGATTCACTCAACACAGTAATACTAATAATCAACCCCCTGTCTTGTTCATGACCACATATAGATATAAACCTTCTTAAAATTTTGAATTACTGTTTGGTTGAAGAAATTTTAATGGTACTTTATGTATTGATGTATCACTTTTTATGTGTAATAGGGACACTGATAGCAATGATTTTACCATTCCAATTTTCAATCAGAATTGGTTTCTGGAATTCCACTAAAGCTATGTGTTTTATGATGTCACTATCACAAAAACTCTTGCAAATACATGTAATTAGAAACTTTTTTTAGGGGATTTACAATCTCTTTAATACATATATTTATATTTTGGTTTATTCTAGGTACATGAAAGAAGTGTACAGTCTGATTTTCTATTAATAGTAGTTAAGAAGTTATTGTGTATAAGACATGATTTAAAGATAATATTAATGAGTGCTACATTAGATAGTGAGAAATTCTCTTCCTATTTCCAACATTGCCCTGTTATAAATATACCTGGTAGAACATTTCCTGTAGAGGTATGTAATATCTCTTACTCAACTACACAGGGCATGCCCACTCTTCTAGAGAATAAGAACCTAAAGGGACGCTAGTATAGTCATATTGATATTTACTTTACCAGTTGATAGAGCTCAATTTCAGCTATCAATATTCATATAGTTATCCAAATATTTTTAGTCTTCTAAATATTTATGAGTTGAAAGCTCAATTTCAGCTATGTATATAGTCATCTAAGTATTTACTTTACCAGCTGATAGAGCTCAATTTCAGCTATCTATATAGTAATCTAAATATTTGCTTTATCAGCTGATAGAGCTCAATATCAGCTATCTATATAATCATCTAAATATTTGCTTTAACAGCTGATAGAGCTGAACTACAGCTTTAAGTATAGCTAAAAGAGCTCAATTTCAGGTGTCTATACAGTTAACTAAATTGTTGCTTTACTAGCTGATAGAGCTCAATTTCAACTATCTGTATAGTGGACTGAATAAATGATTTACATTATGCAATTAGTAATTATTAAATCAGATTCCAGTATTATTTAAAATCTTAATTGTATCTTGGTTATGTTTTTCTAGATAAGGCACTGATTGCAGTACTATTACTATTATGATTTTTATGATTTTATTCCTTCGCCAAAACAGCCATTTATTGAAGATTATTTCCAATTTCAGGTATTCCATGTAGAAGATGTGATAGAAAACTGTGGATATATTGTAGATGATGATTCTAAATATTCTTATAATCCTAATCAACTAGTTCAGGTAATAGACTTTTGTTATTATGACAGGGTCCAATCCAGGCATAGGTCCAGATGATGCCTTCAGAGTTTTCAACCCGCTTTCCCCCTGTCAGTGATGCAGGTAAGAGTGGCTGACATGGAAAAAGCGTCTAGTCATTCAGATGGGACAATAAACCAAGGCCCCATGTGTTAAAGTTAAAGATCCCTCCACAGTTAGAAATCGAAAATGAGCAGGCTAATGCCGCTGTCCTGGCAAAATTTCATGGCGTTGTCTGTCTTCATTAGCCCACATGGTGCAGAATAGTAGGCTGTAAAACTCCATTCATTTCATTTCATTATTTAGAAATATAATTTGAGGACAGACTGTAGCACAGTTGGCTAGAGTGTTGGAATGACCTCATTTGCATGGCTGTGGCGAACAAATGGTGGTCGTGGGTGCTTATCTTGGTCAGTGTGTGAAGGTGTAATGAAAGTAATCTTCTTTATTTTTTCAGATAGAGTCAGCAAGTTTAGAAGTAACTGTGAAAGGTGGAGAATCAACTAAAATGGGTGTCAATTGGACTAAAGAAAATATATCTAAGATTGATCATGTAAATAAACTTTAGATTCATTTTTGTTAATTTCTCAGTATGGGTTATTGCCACTATCAATTACATACCAATTATGATCATATTTTGTCTACATATTAAGTGAATGCATAGTTGTTTGATTGTACCAGTTTGTAAATACTGTGTTTAAAATGAAGTATTTTGCAATAAGTCTACTTGTGAGAGAATTGTAAAGAGGTTTTGTGTGTCTAATCTATTTGCATCATTCCACTTTTCTATCAGTTGTCCTTGGTTCCTGTAATTATAAAAATGCTTATCTATGTTAAGATGTCACTGCTTATAGCTTTAGCAATGCTAGAATACTTAGTTTTAGTGGAATTACAAGACCAACAGATATCCAACTGACAATTGGAAAGATGCATATTGAATATTTATCTGTTTTGATTGAGATATTTACTGTATACTAAAAGTTATAACTTATTGTTTACTGTAGATTAAAACTTAATATTGTATTGTTTGTAGACAGATCTACCAGGTGATGTTTATAGTTTAATTGATATTGTATTGTTTGTAGACAGATCTACCAGGTGATGTTTATAGTTTAATTAATATTGTATTGTTTGTAGACAGATCTACCAGGTGATGTTTATAGTTTAATTGATATTGTTTATTGTAGACAGATCTACCAGGTGATGTTTATAGTTTAATTGATATTGTGTATTGTAGACAGATCTACCAGGTGATGTTTATAGTTTAATTGATATTGTATTGTTTGTAGACAGATCTACCAGGTGATGTTTATAGTTTAATTGATATTGTGTATTGTAGACAGATCTACCAGGTGATGTTTATAGTTTAATTGATATTGTATTGTTTGTAGACAGATCTACCAGGTGATGTTTATAGTTTAATTGATATTGTGTATTGTAGACAGATCTACCAGGTGATGTTTATAGTTTAATTGATATTGTATTGTTTGTAGACAGATCTACCAGGTGATGTTTATAGTTTAATTGATATTGTATTGTTTGTAGACAGATCTACCAGGTGATGTTTATAGTTTAATTGATATTGTATTGTTTGTAGACAGATCTACCAGGTGATGTATATAGTTTAATTGATATTGTATTGTTTGTAGACAGATCTACCAGGTGATGTTTATAGTTTAATTGATATTGTATTGTTTGTAGACAGATCTACCAGGTGATGTTTATAGTTTAATTGATATTGTATTGTTTGTAGACAGATCTACCAGGTGATGTTTATAGTTTAATTGATATTGTATTGTTTGTAGACAGATCTACCAGGTGATGTTTATAGTTTAAGAACAAGAAATGCAGTAACCAGATTAAACCATAATAGAATCAACATGGACCTAATTGTGGTAAGATAATCTTAGGTTTTTTGATATCTTGCTGATATTTACCATATTCTCTACAAAACATCAAAATCAGAGTGTATGTCTCTATCAGTGTGGATTTCATTTATGTGTAAGGGGCCTGCTACATGAAAGCTTAACTGAAATGATTTTACAAAAGAAAAATGAAACGATTATTGTATACAAGATTTGATGTAATTTTTGATAATTTTGGTTTTTGTAGGATTTGATTAAATATCTAGGGAACTGTGATCCGTATGATGATATGGATGGTGCCATATTGATATTTCTACCTGGTCTGTCGGATATTCAGGAATTAAATGAAATATTAACAACAGATAGAGAATTCTCTGATCCTAGAAAGTAATGTAGTCTTTTATTTTATTCAGTATCGGAATTCTTCTATCTTAGAAGTTTTTACAGATGTAATATCTAGAAAGGCTATCGCACAGTCAATAAGAGTGTTAGAATTTTGCATCAATTGCTTGTTTCTGCCAAGACAAAGGATGTCTTGGGTTCTAAATGGGTACAGATAATCAGGGAAAGATCAATGCCAAGTGGTTTAGCCAAGGGCAAGCTAATAGATCCTCCTGACCCAAACCTGTAACCCTTATAAAAATATAAGTTGTTATACTTGTTGTTTCTATCTTTCTATCTGTTATTCTTTCTTATATAATTATGAAATCTTATCAATGCCTTATAATAACATCAATGATGTTATATTTTCAGGTATCAAATTCTGGCTTTACATTCAGTTTTATCATCAGGAGATCAGACTAAAGCCTTTGCCATACCTCCACAGGGAGTCCGTAAGGTGGTACTAGCTACTAATATAGCTGAAACTGGTATTACTATTCCTGATGTTATATTTGTTATTGATTCTGGAAAAGTGAAAGAAACAAGGTAAGATTAAGTTTGGAAGATTTGATGCTCTTGGCCACTTTCTCATAGCTCAAATCAAACAGAAACTGTGGTTGTTTTTAATCCTGTAGATGAATTGAGATAAAACTGTCAGATTTTTCAACCCGGTTTCCCCCTGTCAGTAACGCAGGTCAAAGTGGCTGACATGGAAAAAGTGTCTAGTAGTTCAGATGTGACAATAATACAAAAAGTCGTGTGGACTACAGGCTGTGTATTTAAAGACCCCTTGACAGTTTGAAATCAAAGCTAATGCGGCATTGCTTGTCCTTTTTTAGACCCAACAGGTGCAGAAGAGTAGGATGTAAAACTTCATTTCATTTCAAATCTAACATTATGAGAAAGTATTATCGAGTACATCTTTGATCTCATTTCACAAAATTTCTTTATAAACTTTATCATAAAGAGAGAGAAATCATTGCTTTAAAGATTGCAAAATGGAATTCAAGTTCAACTCTTTGTTATTTATAGATATATAGAAACCAAACAGATGAGTTGTTTAGAAGAGGTATTTATTAGTAAAGCTAATGCTAAACAAAGACAAGGTAGAGCTGGTCGTGTACAGAGTGGTTATTGTTTTAGACTATTTACTAAGGCTATGTAAGTGAAGACTGTATTCAGAGTAAACTAACTAGATTAGGATTTAAAATTTTCATGATTCTAAATTTCTGGTTTAGAAGTTCCTGAGAAGCTTGGTAACAAAACATTTTCTACGAGGCTTCTCAGGTAGGTGAAACTAGTGTCTATGGCTTATTACTGTGACAGACCTCATAATCTATTTTCTTAGTGTTGCTTGCTTGCCTTAAAAAATGCGTAGTTTAATTACGCAAGATAATGTTGGAAGGAAATCGATGATGACGTAAACAAGCAACTACCAAAACAAGTTTAAATTCAAGTTCTTGGTTTTCCAAGATATGTATCGCCAAATAGATAAAAACTGTTTATTCAAGAATTTATTCAACACGTCGGCCCGGGGAATTCAACTCCAAGTCTGCCAAGTGAAGTTCAAGATCCCTAGCCATTACAATTACCAAACATGTAATTCTAGGAAATCAATTGGAGTTGTCTCTTTCACCTTGTTTATTGTGGAAGAGCAGCATACCCTGTAATTGAACTATTTGACTATTTGTAGGTATAATGATTTTAAAGCCTATACTATACCAGAGATATTACGTGTTCCTTTAGAAGAGTTATGTTTAAATATTATGGTAGGTGATTAAAAATTTAATTTCATTTTTTCGTGATATTTTTGTCCCCATTGTAATCTAAGTTATTTTTTTATCAAATCACAGCTTGTCATGTAATCTGTTTCATTTGAAAGAAGCATGAATTGTTGGATAGCAAAACCTAAAGTAGAGCAATATCATAGACTCTTTGGGTTTAGCTAGCCCACAAAAGGTTTCATTTAATTGCTGAGACCATGCTAGTTACATCAAAACTTCTCACTGACTTAACTACATCTTTACTCTAAGACTTTATTTTTTTTTATAGAAATGTAATTTTGGAAATCCTGTAGAATTTTTACGTGAAGGGCTGGATCCACCTCAAGAATTATCTGTGATACGTGCTATGAATTTATTACGAGATGTTGGGGCTTGCGAGGAAGAAGAAAATAAATTAACGCCATTAGGTCATCATTTGGCTTCTCTACCAGTTCATGTTAGAATTGGTAAAATGCTGTTATATTCTGCTGTTTTTGGCTGTTTGGAGCAAGTAGTAAGTACATGTGTAAATAGAGCCTTAAAATTCTAATAAAACTTGCTGGTGAAAGTTGCATTTTTTTCTTTGTGTTGATTTTGAAACTTTGTATTATAATATGTTATGATCAACTACTGATGGCTAGAAATGTAACTGATATGATCTCCTTATTTCTCATATCTTCTGCATTTGGTTGACATCTAGTTATGTGTATACATGTTTGTCTGATATGCTCTGTATGGTGAAATATCAATACACGACCACGTAGCATGTTGTATTGCAATGTATTGATTCACTGGTGTATCATGCCAGCACTCATTATAACTAGTTGATAGAATATCTATATCTATGCACAAATTCCAAATTGTCAATGGATTCCTAGCGGAGGTATATTATATAATATGTATTGTTTTAATAACCTTTTTTTTTTTGCTAGGCTGTGATAGCAGCTGCTATGACTGATAAATCACCATTTGTTGTACCATTGGGTAAACGTGAAGGTGCTGATCAAGCTAAACAAAATCTAGCCATGGCTGTTTCTGATCATTTTACTCTCTATAATGCTTATTTAGGGTAAGTTTACACCATTGGGTACTGAATAAGTATTACAAGTGAAGTTAACATCATGAAATGGGAGGCAAATGTGATAAGTCTGTAACTGGGTATACTTTGGACTGTAGAAAGTGTGTCGGATCTAAGAAGGTCACGTTTCTTTTTTCTACAGTTACACTATCTAGGCCAACTACTAATTCTATATAGACTACAGTCAACAATAAACATGTAAATTGTCCAAACAATGGCCCTGTTACTCAACCAGAACGTTGTAATTTTGCAGCTGTTTGTCACTCGATTGTTTCTTACAATTATTAAATATTATTGATATGCTATTTTTGCTCTTATCAGATGGAAACGAGCATCCTATACTGGTAGAAATTCAGAAGAGTCTTATTGTAGACAGAACTTTTTAAAACGCAGCACGTTACTAGATATAGAGGTATTTAGTTTTGTTACAGTCATTATTACAGATAATCTACCTTATATATTAGGTTTCGCTTAGTGTAGTAGGATGAAGGTGCTTAGATTCTGCACCAAAAGATGAACATTTATATTGAATTGTTCTGTGTTGTATTTTGTCTTTATCTGGTGTGTTTCAACACGTTTTCCACAGCAGTTTTTACGTTTATTTTTTAAATATGAACACATGCATGAAACGGATACTTTCTCATTTCTTATTAAGTAATTGTATGAAGTGAACCACATTCCAATCTATTCTATCTATGTGTGCTGATTATGTTAGCTTAATAGCTGTGGTTCTTTCCTTGTAGAATGTAAAAGAAGATTTAATGAAGTTAGTAGGCTCTATAGGGTTTGATATCAGCTATTCTATGAGTAAAGATAGTGAAAAGACTGACCCAGCTGTAATAGCTATGGTTAAAGCTATCATAACAGCAGGTTTATATCCTAATGTTGGGAAAGTGACCCATACTCCAGTACCAGATGCTGCTCTTTATCCTGATAGAAAACTTTGTATTGTTGAAACTCAGTATGCTCCTATAGCCATCCACCCATCTTCAGTCAACAGATATATGGAAAATAATGGTTGGGTTATATATCATGAAAAGGTAGGACATTTTTTTTCAATTGCTAGGGCAGGAATATTTTTTAGATTTTCCATTTTTAAGCTTCGATATGATCAGGATTTAGAAATATTGTGTGAGAATTTCTTTTGTTTTTTTAGCATGAATATTATATAAATGGTTAAATATGTACAGGCTGGATTGAAATTGATAGGCAATGAAAAACACTCCTAATTTTACAAATGAGCTCTTCCAAACATACATATACAGTTTCATATTGAGAGAAAGTATGCATGTGCGGAAGAGTTCAATAGAAAGTAAAGGGGTGTCAAATAGATGACTGTCACTTTATATCCCACCCCAATATGCATCATTTTCAGATGACAGTCTGTCAAATTGTACTTTACTCAGCAAAAGCCAAAACATTTCACTCTATTTCTACTCATTTTATGACTGTTTTTTTACAAAAACAATAAATAGCAAACGCATGGTCGATCATAATTTAAATGATCTTTGGCAATGTCATTTGTGATAGGACAAGGTTTTTGAATTGTAATTCTGAATGTGCTAATTGTTTCAGGTGAAGCTCTCCAGAGTTTATCTACGAGATGTTACTCTTATCTCCCCTTATCCACTCTTATTATTTGGAGGTGCCATTGATGTTCAACATACACAACAATTGGTTACCATCGACTCTTGGATTAAATTTAAAGTAAGTGAAACTGTTCCATTAAACTTTTAACCTCGACTAAATTGTTATTCGGTAATATTGTTGAACTTGTTGGAAAAATGCTTATTAATATTTGTTAATTTAGGATCAGTGAAACTTATCCATTAAAGTTGTAACATCAACTAAATGCTTGTTGGACAATTGTTGATCAGAAATGCCCATAATTTTCTTACAGACCTACGCTAGAACTGGAGTTATATTTAAAGAATTAAGAAATTTATTGAGTGATTTACTTCAGAAGAAATTAGAATCTCCATCACTAAACTTCTCCGGTGGGTCAAATTCTTTATACACCTTCTTAATCTAAAATATTATTTGATACAATAACAGAATATATAAGATGTATTCTCTGTTATATTAGAGAATGGGTTGCAGGTTCATTTCTTTTCTGGATAAGAAGCGCTTCACTGCCTATGCTTCCCAAAAATTACCGGAAATGAATTCATTGGTTATTACATCTCTGTTATATGTGCTCTCTGCTTCTAATGTTATTCAATTCTTATCTTAATATTACTATGTGAGTCAGCTCCTGTACCATTATTACAGTGCATCAAAAGACTATGCTCACCCATACAGACTTAGATCCCTTAAGGATTTGTTAACTCATTGAGAGCTTATTGTTATTTTTAAATTAATATTTTTCTGACAAGTGTTGTAGAAGATATTCTCCTATAGAAGCACTGGCCACTGTATAAAATCCTCAGGGGGCTATTGATCTATTGAGCAATATTTTAAGTGGTATTTCTATATCAATCTACAGTTGATGTATTGAACACTATTTCAACAGTGGTATTTCTATATCACTCTACAATTAATGTATTGAGCACTATTTTAACAGTGGTATTTCTATATCACTCTACAATTGATGTATTGAACACTATTTCAACAGTGGTATTTCTATATTGCTCTACAATTGATGTATTGAACACTATTTCAACAGTGGTATTTCTATATCAATCTACAATTGATGTATTGAACACTATTTTAACAGTGGCATTTCTATATTACTCTACAATTGATGTATTGAGCACTACTTTAACAGTGATATTTCTATATTACTCTACAATTGATGTATTGAGCACTATTTTAACAGTGGTATTTCTATATCACTCTACAATTGATGTATTGAGCACTATTTTAACAGTGATATTTCTATATCGCTCTACAATTGATGTATTGAGCACTATTTTAACAATAGTATTTCTATATCAATCTACAATTGATGTATTGAGCACTATTTTAACAGTGGTATTTCTATATCGCTCTATAATTGATGTATTGAGCACTATTTTAACAGTGGTATTTCTATATCACTCGACAATTGATGTATTGAGCACTATTTTAACAGTGGTATTTCTATATGGCTCTACAATTGATGTAATGCGCACTATTTTAACAGTGGTATTTCTATATCACTCTACAATTCATGTACTGAGCACTATTTTAACAGTGGTATTTCTATATCGCTCTACAATTGATGTATAGGACTATTTTAACAGTGGTATTTCTATATCACTCTACAATTGATGTATAGAGCACTATTTTAACAGTGGTATTTCTATATCACTCTACAATTGATGTATTGAGCACTATTTTAACAGTGGTATTTCTATATCACTCTACAATTGATGTATTTAGCACTATTTTAACAGTGAAACTAATTTTTTTGTAGATAATGAGTTGGTGTGTATGATACAGAAACTTCTACAGAGTGAACGTGCTACAACAGTTTAACCCTTTGACAGTCATAGGATAAAGAAAATTATACCTCTGTTTTTGGTGCTCAGGTATAATCCTGCTAAGATATTATTGCGCTATATGGTAATATTTTGAAATTTGATTTGTGAAATAATTTATGGTAAATTATTGTAAAATTGTACATATACTGTTAAACAAACCAAGGGTTTTACCTTGGAAAAAATCTATCTCTTTTAATTAACAGCCAAATATTATCTAGATCTAGAATTTAGGTAATTGAGAGTCAGAAAAATTCTATTTTCTGATTAGAAACTATTAGAAAATTGCAAGAATGATATAAAGTGGCTTTGTTAGGGTTAGGTAGGGATGGTCATATGTTTTTTAATGCCCATTTCTGTACCATTGCGGTGCAAATAGCCATGGCCTATAAAAATACCAAGCAAGAATCATGAAAGAAAGAATTTAATGGATCTATCTACAAAAACATTGACAAATTTTATAAGCACATACTACAAACATTGCACATTGTACGTAAAAAAAGATAATAATAATCCCCTATAATATAGTGAATTGGACCTTTTGGCACATCATGTTTATATGCTGTTTGTATCTTTAAAACTGATTTCGTTTAAATTTGATCGAAATTGTTAAATATTGGACCTTGCTTGTTAATGGTGGGGGGATTTTAAGTATATCTTGTGAAAATATATAATTTGCTCTATGGACATAGCTATTCTTAAATATAATTAACTCTAATGGTAGATTATTTTGGCTAAAGGTTAATGGACAGGAATGAAAATATATGACACGATCTAAGAATTTTTAAAAGTTTTTGTAATTTATTTCACATAGCATAGATGTTATGAAAGCCATTGCAAGCGATCAAAGTTACGAATTAATATATCAGTGTATCTTAAAGACGCTTGGCTGCATAGGTAATAACAGCCCATTCACACTATATATAACAATAATATATCTTTTACAGGGATAGCATGATCTTGCACCATTCTAATATTCAATCAGATGTTTGTGGTTCCTGCAATTCCATAAAAACTCCGCAATTAATGACGTCACAATTGCAGTGGTCTTTTATATATTAGAAGTAGTTTTTGCAATAGTGACGTCATTTATTGCTGAGTTTTGGTGGAATTGCAGGAACCACAAACATCTGATTGAAAATGAATGGTGCAAATCAATGCTATCAGTCTTCTTGATGCACATAAAAAGTTAAAAAAAACCTTTATAATCCCTTTAACTTCACTTTATCTTAGAGTCAAGCAAAGATATTCATTTGGTGAATATGAGCCAGTACTTGTTTTAGTCCAATACAACAATATGCCATTTGTTTCCTCTAAATATAGTACAATATATACATTATTCTGTATCTTACAATAACAAGTTTAAAACATAAGATAAATAAACAAATTTATAAGTTGCAGAACCTCAAATCCACTAATGCGAACAATCAAAATATAGGAGTTTAAATTGCTTTAGATTTGGACCAAACACAGGGTATACAATATGATATAATATATTGTATATCAGTAGAATGAATACAGATCATATAAACATATACCTGTCTATATGCACAGAATCATGTTTTCTTTGGATGGTTTATGTATTATGTTAAATTATATCAATGCATCTTCTATTCAGCTTTCAATAATAACAAGTGTAAATCTAGGGTCTTATTAATCATTATATTGCTCAAGTTAATTGATTTGAATCCTTTCAACTGATTGCAGTCTTAATTTTATAAACTTATGATTGAAATCTAAATCATATTCTTAAGATGTCCAAATTGCATATCACAAGAATCCAACAGACAAAACATAACATTTCTAACATTTTATGATAATTAAAGGAACACTACCTCTTAGAATGAACATGAAATTTATATTTCCAAACTTAACCAATAAGAGTATGTATTATATAAATATACAACTTTACAACAGAATTCTTCTATAATCCAATAAACCCATAAAAGTCATTATTTCTTTAAACTATAGTTTAAATTACCGTACATTGTTTTATGGATTCATTGTATTGGATTATAAAGGGATTCTGTAGTATAGTTATGACACCAGTTAAGTTCACTTACTCTTATTGACCAAGTATGAAGAGTTTTTGCATTAGAATAGATTACACAACAGAGGAATATTTTGATGGAATGTATCATTTAATACTAGAATATTTATACAAACATTAATTTATTATTATATCTTCCATACTTAACAAATATAATATCACCTATCAAATATATTCACTTTCACCTTCTCATTCCTTTTATTTGTTCATATTTATTCCAAACCTTTTAATTTGTTCATATTTTAAAAGTTATGAGCATTCCTTGATCAAACTATAAGGCCACTCAATACTCACTGTGTTAAAATTTGTTAAAATTATTGGACATTTAAATTCTGATACCATTAAATACACAACAATATCTGCCAAAATATCAGAATGCATCATAGGAATATATATCTTGTGAGGCTTTTTTGGCAGATTAAATCTCACGAGACATTGAAAATGGCATTACAATTTGATCCAGTGCTGAGTGCGTATATCTTCACATATTTCCCACCATATTCTCACTGTTTTCTCATTATTCTGTTGGCTCTTGTATTAGCTCCATCCACTCTTACATTTAATGAGTCAGCCTATTAAAATAAGGATTAAAAAAAAAGAAGAAAATAAATAAAATGAAAATGAAATTAAATGAAACAAAAGGAGAAACTGAAACTGAAATAAAGAGAAACTGAAAGACTTTGACCACTCTAAAAGGACATTCAATTCTTGTGAAAAGCATAGATTTCTCAAATATTGAAACATTTGCAATGCAGAAATTTTTGCGATACAGAACTCATGAGTGTCTCCAAAACCATAGATATATTGGAATTTTTTAATGTAGAATTCAAAGCATGGGTCTCATGAAGAGTTCAAATAGCTAAATTATCAAATATCATAAAGCAAGGGTTTAAACAATAGTTGATTAGTAAAACACAAGCCATGAATCTCAATCACAGTTCAAATATCAGACATTTTTTCCAAAGTAAAAGAAAAAACATGAGTCTCATTCAAAACAAAACTGAAATAAAATAAAAAAAGAAGAAAGAAAACCAAAGACTGAAAATAAAACATGCTGTGTGACCTAATAATATATTGTAACAAGAATTGCATGATATTAAATGATGATATATTATGATGATTTTAATAGAAAAGCGAGATCTAAGTATACAAGTTATAAAAGCCTCAAGTTAATTTACAATGATAGTCTACTACTGTTTATAATGGCTATATCTTATACTGTTTCTGCTAGGGGAGCTTATATACTCTATATTTCTAAAGTACATATATTATGATATAGCAACTTCTGTAGGGTTAATTCAGTATTTTAGCACTACAGCCAGAAGATGTTGGTCTTTTTTTCCTGAAGGAAATATTAAACTTTTGCACATTATGTTGGGTTAAATTCTGAAGCATTTAAACACTACAGCAAGACAATTTGGGTCATTTATCCTGGAAAGAAATAGCCAAAACATATTCAAGTATATTTGACATGATATCCTTATTGTTCTAAATATAAATCAGTAATTTTGTACCTAAAGCCAGGCATGGTCGGCAAATATGGTCTGATTACTTCAGTCATTCAATGGAACAAGATGCAAGAGTTATGGTTCCAGATCTCCTATGTTTTGTTGCTTGTGTCAGGATGTATTCAGTGGATATAGCCATTATAGACAATTTATATATACAATATTAATATTAGGCTAGAATATTAAGATGAATTATCAGCTTTAAATGAATAATACTTTAAAATCATTCTCAAATATCAACAAATAACAATTAGATTTCAATAGAAACCTCTTTCACTTTAAAAATATATTCTACCTTACAAAATCCTTGTTATTTTTTAATTTCATTTAATGATTGTAAATAGGTTTTTTATTTTTTAAAACTAAGTGTTCGATGAAGTCACTAATTGATACAAGCGAAAAGTGATACAAGCATATTTTGTGCTTAGAGAAATAGCAGGAACCACAGACATCTGATTGAATCTTGGAATAGTGCAAATTGATGTTATGAATGTTTTTGATATACATAAAAATTTAGAAAACCCGTTTACAATCTCTTTAAAAGGTAAATTTGTATTAATTGATAATTATTTTTTTTAAATTTCAGTTTAACTAAACAATTTCATCCGAATTCAAATAAATTTGACATCATCTTGATAAACTATTTCAAAAAACAAGCAAAATTTGTTCAAAGAGAAAAAAAGATGCGTAAAAGAAAAAAAACATAGTGTTGGTTAAGAATTGAGAATTGTTTGTTGCAGAAATTGTCCAAGTGTCAGTTCCAACAAGATGCTATACATCTTATTACTAGCTGCCTTATGATTTGAGGATTTTGGTTGCCCGTTTGTTAGCTTCTGAAATACGAACTTCATTTGATGTGGCCTGTAAAGGGAAGATAAGCAATGGTTGATTAGTAACAAGCTCAGTTTAGTAGGGGTATGATATGGTACGGATATGTGGGGAGAAAAGGTTATGTTTGATTGTTTGAGGAAGTGTCATGACAAAGTCTAGGCAGGTATAGTTAAACAAAGATAATTCTGTACAACCAGATCCAAACATGACCAGTCCACTTATTGTCTAGTAGAACAAATAATAATAGAGACTATACAGATGTTATTATTACTAAAACCTCCTATATATAAAGATTGCTTGTCTATATGTCAATCGAAATGAGCAGAAATACCTTTGCTGTACTATATCGCAAAATAATACAAGCTTTTTGATTCTTTCAAACAATTTTGAGGTTTTACCAGCATCAAGCATGACTAGTTAGAACAATCAAACATTGCCTTAGGTTTAAGTAAGTTTCAATAAGAATGAATTAGGTTTAAGATGGGGAATGTCATGAAACAGCTCCTTCATGGCAAATTCAGAATCAAGCAACAAGCATTAGTAACATTCTGGCATTAACTAGGTTGAAAATATCACACTTTGTTAAACCTTGGATTAAATAATATGAGTGGTATGATTAATTTTATGAGTGGTATGATTAATTTATGGACATATGGTAGGCAAGGTCAACAAGCTAGAAAGGCATCATTGATAATAGCATAAACAGAGCTAGAAATTCATGAAAATTTATAATCTGAATATATTGCCTAATTCTTCTTTATAAAATACTTGAACAATATGACTGTTTTTTATGGGGGAGGTGAAAATTTCATTTTAGGTCTTGCACCCTTGCAAAATACATAAAAAAGTACACAAATATTCAATAATTTCTAGCTCTGTAACACCCTATCCTATTGGAAAATGTAAAAGAATGAATAAAAAATGTAAGAATATACCTTCTGGTTGATTCTATCAATCTGTCGATTCTGAGAGCCGATTTCACTACCCATATCAATAGCCATATTACGTAAATTACCAATCATACCACTGACTTCTGTTAAATTATCTTCCATTTCTGTTTCTCTTGCATCATTTGTTACTCTACAATAATCAACAATCATAGAGGTCAGGCCGGGGGGTGTAGCTGGGAAGGCTAGGGGTGGCTTAGCCTCACCACTATTAAAGAAATGAAATGAAACGTAATGAAGTGAATGGAGTCATATTCTGAACCTGATTGAGCTAACAAAGAAAGAAAGCCCTTTAAAGATCCAGATAAATAAGACATAAACTTAGAGCCTGTGTGAAACATGCAGTAGAATGTTAGTAGGCTAATTTTGAATTGAAATAAAAATTCAACTTTCCCATTATTAAAGAGCTATTTGAATAATGAGATGCCAAAATAGTGCTATATACTGAGTTCTATAGAAAACTATGTGGGAACCATCTGAACCTGCTGTACTTGTCAAGCAAGCACCAAACTCACAGAGCGCCTGTGGCTACATACCTATTAATCTTAACCATCATTTCTCTTACTGCTGATAATCTAGCAAGCTTTGTCACTGTGATGTGTCAATACAATCAAGACTATAGATATTAGTAGAAACATTATCCAGGTGGACAATATATTGAGATGATAATAAGGTTAATATAAGTCTTGAGGGAGAAATTATTATCTCCTCCCACACAACCTTTATATGTATAATAATAATAGTTTATTGTGTATCGTATCACTAATTACTCCGACCACTTTCTATATAATACACAGCTATAACTAACAATTTATAATATTTTAGCATTTTGCTTTCTTGGAATAAACTTACAGTAGTTACAGTGTGAGTGTATGCTATAGTGTCTTACATGGATCCAGAATTGAAATATGAAAACAGACTATGAAACATGTTATTCTGAGTTCATGTTCATGCCGTGCTAAATTCTATTATATGACCCGAAGGACTCTTCTTTAACAAATCATCTGAACTTGTTGTACTTCATTAGGAGTAAGGACAGTTTTCTGAAGATCACACACCAATGCCATAGAACCTGATGTATGAACTGACAAGAATTCCGTTTGATATCGTCCAAATGAAATGAAATGAATGGAGTTTTACGTCCTACTTTTCTGCACCATGGGGGCTAATGAATGATAACCTCCAAGCCACCTTTCATACATTAAACTTTGGTAAATCAGGCAATGTTCACCCACAACTCTAAACCTGCTGTCCTGATGAGAATTATATATCCCAAACTGTGTCCTAATAATAATTGTATATTGAATGTAGATATCAGCAGCATGAGAAGAGCTCTGATAAATAAAATATTTAATATCTCACCTAGTAATGAATCCACTGGACATCACAGCACCGTTACCACTATCAACTGTTATTCTGGGACCATTAGCATTTACCTGACCATCTTCGTTAGCTTTCCATGTCTTATTATAGTCAGAACCTTTCTCAAAATTCTTAGCTCTGTAAAAAAAAACAATGTCAAATAATATACAATCTTTAATGGTATAACACTAATTAAATTAGAAAAAAAATCTTATCTAAACCAAAAAAATATCCAAAGCTCTGTGACCCAAGCCAGTGCTTTTATTGAGACTTATCTTAATGAACCTATCCACGAAAAGAATATCAACTGGTCTATGGGTAAATACTATACAATATAGCATTAAACGCATAAGGATATCCCCATAAGGTTCTAAAGCTATTGACTATAAGTATGGTCGCAATATCACTACCACTCGAAAAATAGATATAAAAGACTCGCATCAGAATACAGAACAAAATCTGAAGTCAGACGTAATGCATGCAAATTCAAACTTATTGGTTTTTTCAAATAAAATAATCATTCGGCACAGAGGAGACCATAGCGTTAAGAATGTTTCAATATATAAACCTATTTCAATTCTTCAATTACCAGACAGTCTTATATCTCTAGCTTCTTGATTTTAATACATTAATCAACATAAGCTAACTATTATATATGTGTTTTAGAAAGTATAATTGGCCAATTGAAGTATTTTCTAAAAGATTTATGAAGCTCCACTGGAATATTGAACGTAGAAAAGCCATTAAGATAAATAATAAATCTTCAGTCAAAGTTATTCATTCTGACTTGTCCTAATGCTTCACCTAATGGAGATTTAAACATATCTTAAAGGTATTATAAAGAGGTTTTCTAAATTTTTTATGTCTATCGGGGACACTGATAGCATCAATTTCAATTTTAAATTAGACGTCTATGGTTCCTGCAATTCCATGAAACACCACTTTTAAAGTCACTATTGCAAAGGCCTGATGAGGGTCAGATTTTACGATAGTGATGTCATTAAAGCGAAATGGCAGGAACCACAGACGACAGACTAAAAATTGAATTGAAACAAACGGTTAAAACCTATTTCTCTCATGTCTCTGTATCTCAATAATTATTTTCGACTATTGAGTTACTAGAACCAAAATAATACATTTTGAATGACATGCAAGATTAACAAAATATTGTTTTAAAGAAATTTGAGAAGCTTTGTCTTTTAGCTGGGTATAAAAGATATTTCTCAAATTCATCCAGATAGTTCCAACAAGAAAGTCTACTGGAATTGATGTCTGTTTTTTTTTTTTCACAAATGCTTCTGACAGATGCGGATTGAGTGTATAGAATCATCTGCTTTAAAATGGACACTTTCCTGCTTTAAGGCTAATATAGTAAAGGCCTTGGTCACAAAACTTGAACTCTATATTTCTATGTGCTTGTTAATCTAGTTTGTATATTCAAAATAAAGAAATCAGGAGTGATGATAATTTGGTGGTACTGAATCATCACCAAAATAAAAGTGAGTCCTCATTCAAATATTATCAGATTTTCTATGTAATCATCTTTCTGGTATAAGTGTGAAGGATTCTTACCTCTTCCATGGTAAAACACACAGTCCACAACATTTCTCCATTCCTTCTAAATTCTTCTCAGCATCTCTCATATCTTGGTTGATTTGATCCATCCCCTCATCAATACGGTCCAATTGTTCTGAAAACAACCATAGCTTATCGTTTAAATTCATGATCTTGTACTTATAGGTTAGGGAAATCGACCCCCAAATTCGGACCAGAAAAAAGGGATTTATGCCATTGATCAGCCAACAGTAACTAAAGAAATCCTGTAGAAAGGCTATGGAAAGTGATCCTCAAATTTTCACAAGAAGGGGGATGTTGTAACTCAGTAATAGGACATCATAGTGGTTATGTCATGAGCTTTTAGAGCAAAATTATGAACTCTATCTAAATTTGAAATTCTTCTGGAAAGCAAGGAAAAGGAATGTCTGCACCTTATATTTGTTTTGGACTACCAATAGTCAAGTTGCCTAGATTTCTTAACTCCCCAACAGATGGATATAAAGTCAGTGTAATGTTATTTCTGTGTTCTAGATCTGAACTAACTCCCTCACTGCTATCAGGCTCCTTGTGGCATGGACTAACTTTATACTTTCTTTAAAAATTAATGTTTATTCGAGGTTCAACAATTATCAAAAGATCAAGTTATGGTCATTAAGACACATCTGTAGGGACTTCTAAAGTTCAAGTATACTATTAAAGACATAGAAATGATGATAGGCTAATCAAAATTCCTTTCAGAGAATTTGGATATCAGTCTTGATCATTTACATTTTTGGAAAAATAGATAGCATGAGCACAAAATTCCATCAAATTGAATAAGGATTCTGGCCTTTATATCATTATGAGAGTTCACAAACATATATTTCATTAAAGCCAAACCAAAAGTGCAACAAGAAATATTCTAAAGACAGAATCTGTTTCAGGCTGATTTTCATGAGACTAGTTTACGTCATTCTGAGAGATCAGAAGAATATATTTTATTACCCTTTTCTGACAAACAATGATCAATCAAAAAATACCATAATTAGAATCAGGAGTTTTTACTAAAAAATGTCATTTTCTTCAGAAAAGGATTTCAACTGATTAAGAATTTCAGGCTGTCTGACAGCTAAAACTGCATATTATTCTAAGAGTTCACAAGCATAAATTTATCTGTGAATCTCGAAAACTGTATTCTGTATTCTAGTTTTTAAAAATAAAATGTCATTTTATACGGTAAAAGAGACAGGAATGATTTTGCCTTATAAAATATTTATGAAGACAAAAACTTGTCTAGTGAGCTTGCAAGCCATTCACAATGTTGAATCTCATCTATCAGGTATGTGTCACACAAAGCCTAGAAAAACAGGTTCATGTAAAAAGTGGAAATGTTGAATTTTTATTAGTTTTCTGACATGGTTGTCTGTTTTATAAAGATTATAATTAATCAAATATGTTCAAAATCTGATTAATATAAATTGCATTCTTAGTAGCTTCCCCAATAATTTAATTCTTTTTCTACAAACTTTGTTACTTTCAAATAATAATGAGAATTATTGAAAATAGAAGAGAGACTAAGACTACAACTTCTTGATACTAAGCAAGGTTAGTAAAAGTCTTTTAGATACTGTGTAAATGAACTATAAGAAATTATCGATGAAAAAATGCAAGTCTGAAATTCAGATACAGCAAAGTCAGTTTGCTGAAAGATACAGCAAAGAATATAAGTCAGCCTGCTGTAGAGATGCCAGATATCTGAATTTCAAATATAGCTACGAATATAAGTCAGTCTGCTGTAAAGATGTCGGATACTGCAAAGAATAGAAGTCAGTCTGCTGTAGAGATGCCAGATATCTGAATTTCAAATATAGCTACGAATATAAGTCAGTCTGCTGTAAAGATGTCAGATACAGCAAAGAATAGAAGTCAGCCTGCTGTAGAGATGTCGGATACTGCAAAGAATATAAGTCAGTCTGATGTAAATATGTCGGATACTGCAAAGAATAGAAGTCAGTCTGCTGTAAAGATGTCGGATACTGCAAAGAATATAAGTCAGTCTGCTGTAAAAATGTCGGATACAGCAAAGAATAGAAGTCAGTCTGCTGTAAATATGTCAGATACTGCAAAGAATAGAAGTCAGTCTGCTGTAAATATGTCAGATACTGCAAAGAATAGAAGTCAGTCTGCTGTAAATATGTCAGATACTGCAAAGAATAGAAGTCAGTCTGCTGTAAATATGTCAGATACTGCAAAGAATATAAGTCAGTCTGCTGTAAAGATGTCGGATACAGCAAAGAATAGAAGTCAGTCTGCTGTAAATATGTCAGATACTGCAAAGAATATAAGTCAGTCTGCTGTAAAGATGTCGGATACAGCAAAGAATAGAGGTCAGTCTGCTGTAAATATGTCAGATACTGCAAAGATTAGAAGTCAGTCTGCTGTAAATATGTCAGATGCTGCAAAGAATAGAAGTCAGTCTGCTGTAAATATGTCAGATACTGCAAAGAATAGAAGTCAGTCTGCTGTAAATATGTCAGATACAGCAAAGAATAGAAGTCAGTCTGCTGTAAAGATGTCGGATACTGCAAAGAATAGAAGTCAGTCTGCTATAAAGATGTCAGATCCAGCAAAGAATAGAAGTCAGTCTGCTGTAAAGATGTCAGATCCTGCAAAGAATAGAAGTCAGTCTGCTGTAAATATGTCAGATACTGCAAAGAATATAAGTCAGTCTGCTGTAAAGATGTCGGATACAGCAAAGAATAGAAGTCAGTCTGCTGTAAATATGTCAGATACTGCAAAGAATATAAGTCAGTCTGCTGTAAAGATGTCGGATACAGCAAAGAATAGAGGTCAGTCTGCTGTAAATATGTCAGATACTGCAAAGATTAGAAGTCAGTCTGCTGTAAATATGTCAGATGCTGCAAAGAATAGAAGTCAGTCTGCTGTAAATATGTCAGATACTGCAAAGAATAGAAGTCAGTCTGCTGTAAATATGTCAGATACAGCAAAGAATAGAAGTCAGTCTGCTGTAAAGATGTCGGATACTGCAAAGAATAGAAGTCAGTCTGCTATAAAGATGTCAGATCCAGCAAAGAATAGAAGTCAGTCTGCTGTAAATATGTCAGATACTGCAAAGAATAGAAGTCAGTCTGCTGTAAATATGTCAGATACTGCAAAGAATATAAGTCAGTCTGCTGTAAAGATGTCGGATACAGCAAAGAATAGAAGTCAGTCTGCTGTAAATATGTCAGATACTGCAAAGAATATAAGTCAGTCTGCTGTAAAGATGTCGGATACAGCAAAGAATAGAGGTCAGTCTGCTGTAAATATGTCAGATACTGCAAAGATTAGAAGTCAGTCTGCTGTAAATATGTCAGATGCTGCAAAGAATAGAAGTCAGTCTGCTGTAAATATGTCAGATACTGCAAAGAATAGAAGTCAGTCTGCTGTAAATATGTCAGATACAGCAAAGAATAGAAGTCAGTCTGCTGTAAAGATGTCGGATACTGCAAAGAATAGAAGTCAGTCTGCTATAAAGATGTCAGATCCAGCAAAGAATAGAAGTCAGTCTGCTGTAAAGATGTCAGATCCAGCAAAGAATAGAAGTCAGTCTGCTGTAAAGATCAGAGTGCCAATGAACTTTTAGAGAGGCATGATGTCAGAATAAGTCTAAATTCTTTCCAAGTTGATATCTGTCAAGGAATCTTCTCTCCAGTTAATAAATCTACTAGGTTATCTTAAACTCTGCTAGTGATATTTACAAGTGACATGAACTCTTTTACCATTCATAGAATATCTTATCAGTCTTCTATCTCTGTCTTGACAATTAAAGGGGGTATACCTCAGTGCCTTTGAATCGTTCAAAAGATAAGTCAAATCCTTCAAAGAGCAATTTGGGCATTCTAATATTATTATTATTATTATCTTCTATCTCTGTCATGATAATTATAAGGGGGTATGCCACATCAAATGACTTTTATACATGTACTTGTAACAGATTTATTATATCCCCTGTTTGTTTTCTGACAATGACAATTAAAGGTGGTATACCACAGAAAATACCTTGTGGAATTTACTATATTCCTTGACCTTGCTTTCAAACCTTCTTCCTCGACCTTTTATGTCTTTTCTACTTCTCTCTGATTTATCATTATTTTATTATTAACTTTAATTGACCCATGTTTTCTTGAGGACTGTAACATATTATTTTATTCATTCTTCTGATTTGCAAAGATATGGTAGCTTTAAAATAAAAGGCTGAACATCTAACAGTACAATATACAGTTAATTAACTGTCAAGAATAGTTGGATTAACAAATAAATTCTACTTCTTGCAATAAATCAACCATTCACAGTATTATATACCAACATTCCTTCCAAGGTTAGGGATCACAGTTAATAATCTTAGTGAAAAATTACAGAAGATAGATCTTGTACAAAACAAGGCATTAGAGTCTTTGTTCAAGACCTATTGGACTCTTCATATCCCTCTCGTAGCCTACATTAAGATGTGACTGGTACCCCCTTATCCACCATAAGCAACCTGGAAGTCTCCAGAAGTTGTTAATTGTTCACAAAGTTGACAAATGTTTGAATCCACTGCTGATGTGTTGTCTAACTAGCCTCTAAGGTAGCATCTGCGGTGTTTACTGGTAACCCCAGAGTAGGTTTAAAACCAGGCATCAGAGGATGAAGCATAGAAAATTCAACAAGGATCATTCAGCCTTGTTTTCTTTTTAATCATAGGATCTCTTCACTTTGTCCATTATCCCCAATACATTTGGCTAAACCAACCAACTCAATCTTAAAATTATTGAGAATTCTCTAGCTGACAAGAGCATGTGTGACTTGCAGGGCATCATTCACATCCTATTCTCTTCACCTGAATCAACTCTGTGACTTGACTCTTTCAAAGAGTCTACAAACCAATAATGTCATTTTGGAATTGTTATTGATATCAGCAAGACACAATATACAATGTAATCTAGAAACCTAATAACAGTATTTTTAATAAAGAGATTGAAATTTTCCTGTCTATAATCGTGATGTAGTGACGTCAATGGAAGTTAAAAATAGTCTGAGAGTGTATTGTCTTTGTGTAATATTATAATTCCACCCACTTTACCTGCCTTGATTAATACTATTATCATGTAAATAGTAGTACTTATCACCTAGTTATTAATCATGTTTGCAATATCCTTCACAGTGTTCACACACTTTCTAGTTATCAGATCCTTTCATAGTGTTCACACACTTTCTAGTTATCAGATCATTTCACAGTGTTCACACACTTTCTAGTTATCAGATCCGTTCATAGTGTTCACACACTTTCTAGTTATCAGATCCTTTCATAGTGTTCACACATTTTCTAGTTATCAGATCATTTCACAGTGTTCACACACTTTCTAGTTATCAGATCCGTTCATAGTGTTCACACACTTTCTAGTTATCAGATCCGTTCATAGTGTTCACACACTTTCTAGCAATAAGATCATTTCACAGTGTTTGTACACTTTCTAGTTATCAGATCCTTTCATAGTGTTCACACACTTTCTAGTTAGCAGATCCTTTCACAGTGTTCACACACTTTTTCATCATCATGGTTGTTGACGTTAACTTATGATGACTTTTGTCAATAGATGTCAGATCTTAATTGTAACTTTACTTCTCAATATCTTATCTTAGTTTGATCTTCTTTTCTTATTATCAAGAAACTTTGCCATAACCAAATTTCTTTGAGAATTGTTATTTTTTTCTAAAGAGCCTTTAATTCTCAAGAAGTTTTTCTTAGCAATTTTAATTTTATTGTAAATAATAATAAAAATAAGACACTTTTTGCTTTCAAATGGTTACTATCCAAAATATAACCTTGTGAACTCTCAAGAATTCTATTAAAGTTTTTCTTTGCAATTATAATGTCTTTCATGCAGAGATACCTGTGTTCTAAATTTCAATCAAGGAATTTGGGAGTTGTACCTTCTGATGACTGACAAAGACAGTAAATTTCATAAGAGTTTGAAAGACAGTCAATAAAGAATAAAATCAAAGCAGTGCATCAAGATAACATAGAAATATTAACAAACAGATACCAAACCACAAATACATGCAAAATAAAATAATACCAACACCACACCAAATGTTAAACAAAATTAGTAAAAGATTATTTGCAGACACAGATTTAGGATGTGGCCACGTAAGAAAGTTGTTGATCAGTTAGAAATTCAGAGAAATCCCTGAGAGCCCAGATCCTAGCCCATTAACTTCTTTCAGAATTCTTCGTGAACGTTCAGGTCAATCTATATCGGAACAGTTGGAAGCGTTTCCAAAAGTAAAAATTTGAAATGTTTGTTTGATCAATGAGAGATCAGATGATCCCAATCATATATTGAATTCCATAAATTTGGTTATGTTGGGAAATCTGCATATATATTCACAATGTCAAGCTGTTACAAACTTTGTATTATGCCTTGACTGCGATAGCCACATTGCTTGTATCACGGAATGCAGCCACATGGTTGGATTGTATGTTAACATCTACAGCCATGACATTGTGAAGATGAAATTTGGAGTTCCAACAGACATTTATTTATTTTATTAATTTCAATTGAGCATGACCAACTGTAACAGTATAGAATCAGCGTTCTCTTTAAGTTTAAAGTCCACTACCCTTGTTTTGTAAAAGCAGCACACAGCCAAAATAATGAAGTAATTTTTGTAACCTACCCCCTTGTTCATCCAACATAACAAGAGTTTTGACACCCACATCTTGACTCTGAAATCATTGCAAATAACAACTGAACAGAAAGCAAACAACAATATAACAGAATACATAACTAAAAAATACAATAACAAGGAGTGCAGTGCATAGTTCATCACTACAAAATCTCATCAAGAGATAAAGTTGCTAATCATTAATGCTACACAGAATCTCTATTAAAGGCATAGTAACCTATATGAAAAAATTCCAAGATTCATGGAGAAAAACCCTTTAAAATCAATAATATATCAATTTGTGCCTACAGAAAACTCAGTTTTAAAACTGAGATTCAGTGAACTTGATGAAAATTCATCAAAAATATTCAATTAAGATCAAAAGATCATTAAGTGCACATCAAAGTAATGAAGTATACAAAACAACTCCTTTAAAGTAAATCTAAAATCATTGGACAACATGTTTACTTCTAAATTGAATATATTCAACTATTGGATTTAATGTTTGGTAGAAATAATGACGTTGTTTCGATTATTTAAGACCAAAATCAATAAGAATGGAAAGGAAATGTGCTATAATTTGACGAAGACATGTCAATTACAATGATTTGAGAAAAACTTGAAACTTGTGAGAAGGTCATTAACTGACAAAACACGCATTTATATTTATGTTAATGGAAAAAAACAAGATACCGGTACTACAAAGAATCAATTACAATACAAAATTGCTTTATATCAATCTTTTTTTCTAAATAATGAAATGCAGATTATCAAATATCTGAATTCAATACTTTAATTTAGATATTCTGAAAACAATCAAGGTGTGTTTTTATATATAAACTGTTATTTTCCCAAAAATCTCATAATTTCATCTATTTGTCAGTTGTTGAAAACAACATTATTGTACAGAAATAGAAATGAAATTCAGATTATGAATTATCTGAGAAGAGTATATCTCAATTTCGTACATTTTTCTCAAAATCTCCAGATTTCAATTTTTACATTGAGATTGTTAAAAGCAAAGATATACTGACAATTCTGAAATAAAAACTGATAAAATTATTTTAAAAAAAATTAAGTTCTAACATGCAGGGTTATGATGCACAAACTAACAACATTGAGTTCATCAGTCCATTAAATAGGACCTTTCTTACCTCCTTGTTCATCTAACATTACCAATGTTTTGATACCAGCTTCCTTACTCTACAGTAGGCAATGAGGAGAAAAAAACTTGTTAATGGGCATGTAGGAATGAAAGAGATTCAAATAGCCTTAACCAATTAGATGTTAAAATAGGATTTATATATTTAGCTGAATATTTTCAATCATGTGCAAGTGATGCCATGGGTCTTAGTGATGTAAATTTTGTTCAAGTGATGCCATATGTAACTTAGTGATGTGAAATTTGTCTAAGTGATGCCAAATGAGTCTTAGTGATATCAAATTTGTATAAGCAATGCCAAATGTTCTTGTGTAATGTCAAATTTGTCCAAGTGATGTGAAATGTGTCTAAGTAATGTCAAATGTTTCTAACTAATGCCAACTTTGTCCAAGTGATGTCAACTTTGTCCAAGTGATGTCAACTTTTCTATATGATGTCAACTTTGTCTAAGTGATGCCAAATTTGTCCAAGTGATGTCATATGTGTTAGTGATGTCAACTTCATCTTAATGTTGTCAAATTTGTGTAAGTGATCTTGAATTTGTCCAAATGGTAAACACAATTCAAAATAGATTTTTGTAACATGTGCTCTCCGCTTTTAAATGTCATTCTAATTTTATCTTAATTTAGAATCCATGTAGAGTTCAGTACTCTCAAGTGGCAAGTTAAACCTATTTTAGAACCATTTGTTAGCATACAAATTTCTTTTATTCACAAGAATTACGAGAGCTAAAAATATCCAGCAATTGTAAAATCTTTTAAAAAGAACTTTCTTCTTATTGATTAGAAGTTTGAAATTTAAATTGTGTGAGAATGAAGTTTGAAAAGTTGAAATTTCATTGAGATTTTCTGTCTAGAAAATAAATTACAATTCAATCTTTTATAGTTGAGAATATCAATAAAAACGTCTAAAGAGACTATATATATCATCAGATATAATCTTAGCAATAAATTGTCGCAATTTTCACTTAATTCACGTTGATTCTTCAAAAAATATCACCAAATTTGCTGCTCATTAACCTAGGCTTACGTCTCTTTCAGACTTTACAAAGATTCCTTTTTAGTAGAAAGTGAAATCAATGACGCGTTTATTAGATAAGAAATGAATAGAGAGATGTTGAATAAAGAATGAATGTTTAACTGCTGTAGACAGAAACCGAAAATAGAATTCTAAAGACAAGGCACGACATAAAAGGAAAGATAATTTATCTAAAATAGATGATAGTTAAAGTATTTATGTTATCACAGGGCCCTGCTATAGACCAATTACTACAATATTATCATCATTTAATGAACTTTTTATCATTTTTAATTAAGGATCTTCGTCCAGAATGATATTAATATTCTTTGGTAATTGCCAAACTCAATTATGGATTTTCATATCTGGCTGGTCTTGTTTCATATAACAATTTCTTTTCTTCAATTTTTTGTTTCGGAACATGGAAGCTTTACTTTCACTTTCAATTTCTAGAAAAAATTCCTCACAGCTTTGAGAATAAGCTTTGAGAAAATCTATCTAATTAAAATGAATAAGTTAAATACCACCAGGTCACTAACTTAGAATAAATTGTTTTAAATAACAATGGAGACCAAAAAACAAATTCTTTCACTTTCAATTTCTAGAAACAAATCTTGCCAGCTTTGAGAATAAACGTATAGAAAATAAATCTAATTAAAATGAATTAATTTAATAGCTTGTAGCATCACCAGTACGCGACCTTAGAATAAATCCTTTTAGGTTACAATGGAGACCAGAAAAAATTATGAGACGAAATTGTAATCTAATTTTGAATAAATTGATATCAAAATAACCTTGGCACTATATATAAACTTAATTTGTCTAATATATAGATTTCTTATATATTAATATAATTAAGACATACTGACCTCTTCACACATCTGCAGCATACGCCGCGTACTTTCCAATGACTGAAAAAGAAAAAAATAATGTAAATTTTAAGAGTAAAATATAAACAGTAAGAAAGAACTCTACAAAAAATGTATACCCTTTCAAAAATAATTTTCCAATTAGAGTGGAAGTCAACAGTTTCTTGGAAAATAATGCAAATTACAAAGATCTAACTAAAATCACAAAAGGGTGCTGAAAATTATATGTGTCAAATTCAGAATTTTGCAAATTTACCCCAAAATGAGTTCAATAATAGTTTTGTAAACAAACTTTGCAATCACTTCAGTAAAATCATTGATGATTTTGAAGCCCCATGCCAATAGATATTTGCATATGTATCACCCACTATTACACAATATTTGATCAGAAACCATAGTACACAAAATGGAAAATATCAGCTGTTGGTTAAGGGTGCTTTGTGGCTCCAGGCTCCATGCATGGTATATACAGAAATATTTTCACCAGAGTGAGCTGATAGATGGAAAATAAAGGGGTTGTAAAGAGGTTTTCTAAAAAAAATTATATGTATCAGGGACCATGATAGCATCAATTTGCCCCATTTTTGATCAAACATCATGCAACTGTTACATAAGGCCTTTCGCTATTAGTGACGTCAAATTTTAAAAAATCAAATGTCAAAAATTGAGGAATTCCTCGATAGAAAAGAAATCTTGGATCCCTATATTATAAGAAGAGAAACATGTCTGAATATATTCTAACCCTCTGATTAGTATTTATTTATAGAGGTGAATATTGATAAAGTTGATATATAGTAAATTTGTATATAATGAGAATATATCTACAGTATTCCTACTATTATCTCTATAACAATATTGATTAGATTGGTCTCAATATCAATATTAAAGGTCTACAGAGACACTCTGGCCTATCTCTTACTCTACACTATATATACATTCAAATTATCACGAGAATTCATACAAATTTTATTCCTATTGATCATTTCCTATTTACACCTCTTCTATTAAATAATTCCATAGAAATGGACATGACACAAAACAACCAAGAATCACAAGCAGCGGGCAGTCTAATTAAAATTAGACCAAAACTTTCATTCCATTTTTTATTAGCTTTTATCTTTAATATAGCCACCACTTCAGTTAGGGTCTAAAGACAGCCTTCTTAAACATTCGTCTGTTTAATGACACTGCCAGCTAATCAAAATCCTGCCCTCTCCAATGCTGGGATTTTGTGATGAAACAAAAGGTGCATTCAGTGTATATATGTATTTCGTCAATGTTTTTGTCTTAGAAATCCTCTTTCTCTCTCCCTTTTGGGTTTTTGCATGCCTATTTTTGATTAATTTGTGGTCTAAATTTGGAATTTGATGTCTGAAATTACATTTGATATAAGATTTTATGAGAAGATGAGAGATTAACATGAGGAAGGATAATTCTGTAAAAATAGTCGTTTTGAGTGCAGTGATAGTTAAGCCGATGTAATTAAATCTTCAGTTTGACTAGCTTAATATTTTCATGCTCATGATATATTGAATTTTTGTCGAGAAACTAAGTATTGATCAGCTTAGATGACAATTTCCTTCATGTCAACTAAAAATATGGCAAATTTCGCATGTCAACTAAAAACAAGACAAAAAGCTTTTCACACATTACAGGTTAAAAAAATTCAGAATTTGTTGTCAGTTTTATTGAAGATTAAAAGGTTGCATAAGTCCATTTCACAGCCCAGTCAGCAGTTCTAATAGTAGGATTATTATTCTAAACTTGAAGCATTGTTTTTGTTGGAGGATTTATTCATCTTCACAATGTCAAGCTAATTCAAAATAAAACTTTCAAGGAAAATGCTGCAGTTCGATCCAAACCGCAAAACAAAACCCGGAAAACAAACAACATATTGCGAAACATTGGTAGCAGCCAATGAACTTTTCACATGAGTAAGTATATAAATCATTAGTAAGTATTTCAGTAAGTGAGTAAGTATTTCAGTCAGTGAGTAAGTATATCAGTAAGTGAGTAAGTATTTCAGTCAGTGATCAAGTATTTCAGCGTGTAAGCATTTCAGTAAATGATCAAGTATTTCAGTCAATGAGTAAGTATTTCAGTAAGTAAGTAAGTATTTCAGTAAGTAAGTAAGAAATAGATCACTTAACTTCTAATAAAACTCAGACATTCTCTTAAAGGAAATGTTTTTCCAATCTAATATTAATATCTCACAAGGGAATTTCAGGATGTCAGTGAACCAAAAGAAAAAACTATTTGGTACTTTAGTGTAAACAGAAAACAAGCCTTATAATAATCAAAATATAGAATTAGCCTTAGAATTATCATTACCATCTAATATAACTGTGAAAATCAAAAAAAGTTTTTCTATTCTACCGTTCTTTGTCTTGCAAATGAATGAATCACTTTATAAATATTTTATTTTCTTTCAGGGATCACAAGTTTATGTTTTCAAAACCTGTTTTTCTTACGTGTCATATTTATTTTGATGCATAAAATTAGTTTGCAGTGTTACATATTTCTATAGAAAACAAAGGTATGGAAATCATAGTCTTTCGCATGTTTGAAACCGTTACATATTTCAACTGACAGTTGTATCAGGGACAATAAATAATAATATATAATATGCAAATTCCGATTTGGAGTCCTGAAACTTTCAATAGAAGTCGGTTGTTTTAATTAATAAGGTTTCATGTGAAAAACGAATATGCAAATATTATTCATCAAACGCTATTGAAGATGATTACCACTTTCTCCTTTGCTGCCACGCTTATATTGACCTTCGCCTCAAATATTTTCATCATCAATACTGGTCATGAAAAATGAAATGCAATATGACTAGCACAAACAACAGAAAAATTATCAACCATGGAAAATTTATTTATTTAAATCTTTGTAAGTGAAAAAATCCTTCTTGAGTACACCTAATAGGTCTTTGAAGTAAGTATATATTCATGTATATATCTGTCATATCTGTGTATATGTATGTATTGTAGTTGTTTGTCCTATAACAACCTATAACAACTGATTTGTTTTGCTTGAATAAAAAACAAAATTTAAATCAATAAATAATAAATATTCATGATGTTACATAATTTTCAAACTGGCCAATCATCATGCTAGCATGTCGGCATGTTTACCTTTTGTTTTGTAATGTATTCTGATAACTCCTTTCATATGAAAAAAGCTTATTTTAATTGGTTAAAATACAACATCTCATACAAAGCTATTTGGATAAAGTAAAGCACAAGTGGAAAATTGCGCCTGTTTTAACAGCAATGATATGGAAATAAGATAGAGACTAATCGAAGTCTATTAGAACAACTAATCTCCTTATTATAATCGTCTGTAAATAGCAAGACTTATATAAACAATATAGTCAGAAATTCCAGACTAACATGCATACTTAATACATTGATTGGCTTACTTGGTCGATATGACCTTAGTTTTCTTCAAGCTTTGTGTACTTTTAAACATAGAGGTTACAAGTGCTTCATTAGTGGCTGATTTTTATTCTACCTTGAAACAATGGTGGTAGTTACCAGACCAGAACTATTACACAGATACTAAGTTACCGCATGGTGCTACAGGAAACCATAAAAAAATATCAGCTTCTGACGAGGACATCCAGAAAACTTAGCCTTAATTTGATATCAGATTAAGTAACTGACTTCTCCATTCAAAAGCATCTTCAGAATATCCACGGGGGAGGGAATGTCTAAATAGGGTTGTCTTACTTTCTGTTTTGTTCTTTACGAACACTGGTGCCGCACTATACAGGTGGCTCTCAAGTGGCCCTCTGAACCACGAGCCAAACCTTTGAGATCTCTTTATTTAACTTTCCAAGTAGATTTATTTACATCAGATTTTAATTTTTGATAAACAGTTAGAATTCATGTATTAGGTTTTATTCAGTACTGTTACTGTATCACATTATTGTTGTACAACAGTTTTGATACTGTATCAATTCAGTGGCTATTTAAGGGTAGGGCCATTGGGTCAAGCCCCCCATACCTCTCACACCCTCCATAACCCGTGAAAAGTTATTTTTGAACTAAAAATTAAACCCTCTAAATGCTCAAAACTCATTTCAGGCCATCTGAAATCTGTAAGCTTCTGGGAGTATCTGGCAGTCCCCTGATCAGACCCCCTACCTCAAGAGGATTCAGCTCTTTGACCCGCTACCTTCAAGCATTTTTAACATAAGCTCTTGTGTATCATATTACTGTCTTACATTCAACACAATCCATATTGAGCTGGTTTGAATATAGGTTCTAATTATCTAATGACTTTCAGCCCCATCAATCACTTTATTCTCAGATGGAAATTTCTAAAAAAAAAAACTGGAAATTTCACCATTTTTGGATTTATTTCAACATAATGGCATATGGGAATCAAATAAAGCTAACCTTTTCTCATTTTCGAACATAAAGATATCACTCTTTTTAAAAAAAATAGCAGACCCATCATTTTGTGCTCATGGAGATCTTTATAAAGTTGTAATATAATGAAATTAAGATATCTTGTTGTAGTTTTTTATATTTACTATCACATATTCCTATTATTCATCAAACCAGGAACTAGTTGATTAAAGATATTCATGCACATATATGTTAAAATATAAACACCAACAGTTCACTCTATTCTAGGAAGTATAAGTAGTAATCAACACTCTGTCAGTTAAACCTGCTGCAGATGAGAAGAACTAGCTGAGCTGCCTCCCTCGAGAAGATGGGAGCTCTGCTGTTTCTCCTGTCTACACTGAATTTCGAGAGAAAATTCAACCCGAGAGGCTGTGTTGAAAATATATATCCTGTTTGATATTTTCTCCAACAAGAGGCCAGAAACTCAACGTTTGCTAACATATTAAGTTGCCAGCTGAGCTAGAAAAAGTTACAAACCAATAAGATTGAGTTAACATATCAACATGGCTACCATCAATGACCTCGTGAATGATGTAATTTTAGAAGATCAGCTTGGCAAGAATACCCGTGACTGTATGCTATTAATGCTGCAGAATTATAAAACAGATCTCGAGGCAG